AGTACAGTATTGTATAGGCCAGTTTAATATGCTTTGCTTTTGTGCATTAATCAATGTATGACTGTATGTAGGGCATGGTATAGTATGGTACCAAATAGTAACAATTTAATTTTCTTACCCTGTACTATATCATCTGTGGTATCATTTTTTTTATCAAATTCTTCACGTTTCCCAACTTTCCTCTTTCTGGCCTTTAGTGAATGAAGCCAGCTTTCATTGGATAGAGAAGGCGGGGAATCTCCGGCTTATTTTTCACCCAGTCTCTGTCCCTTTTGTTGTTCGCTGTACTCTCAAGGAGACTTTGTGACAGCCTATATTGTAAGTTCAGATTGCAACAATAGCTTCCGTTACCATTCAGAGGCTCTTCTGTTCTTTTGAGACATACTGCAGCTTTGTATGTATGTCTCTTCTTACCTTTCCTCACTGTTATTTGGAGGATGCTATTCACGGTGTCTTTGTAAACCTCATCGTACAAAAACACTGAATCTTTTGGAGCAGACTTCAAGAGGGAAAAAACATTTTAATACAAGTGTGACAGCCAGTATAATTGCTGGTTTCCTCTTTTTTTATTTGCATGCATCTCCAGCCGTTTCTTTGTTCTTCCTCAGTTCTTTGGAAGGGGATGATGCCTTGGTGGATATGCAGAACAAATAAATCATACTTTCCTGGTGTAAACAAAGGCGCAAGATAGGCAGAGTCATGAGACAGAAAACAAACTGGATGAAAGAAAACTTTACCCTGTTATTATGTTTGAAATTCCAGAGAGCGCTGCATGGCACACTTCCCAGATTTTTACTGTTTATTTAGTTCAGCAGGTAGAAGATGAGACAAGGCAAGATAAATATTCAATGATTTCTGTGGGGAAATCAGGTTATGAATACAGGCAACAGATGTATTACATCCCATTAAGGGCAGTCTAAATTTGTCATGTCTTTATTAAATGCTGAACAAAAGGGGTTTAGGAAAGACTTTTGAAGGGCAAAGATGGTAAAAAAGTTGAGAATCAAATACTGAAGTTTCAAAAGTGTTCTTAATTAGATCCCAAGGAGGCTGGAAGGGAAGCTGCTAACAATGCTAACACATCAATAAATCAGAGATAAAGCCTTTGATAGCTTTTCAGCGTTGTAGCTTTACCTCGATAAACAAAATTATGTGAAATTAGCAAATTTATATTTCACTTGACTTAAAGCTCCTTTGAGGTACTTTCTGTTTGTCAAATCTTTAATGTATGTTTTGCTACATACAAGCGGCTGCTGGAAGAGAGTGGGTGAGTTGCGTTTAGTCTCTTTGCAAAATAAATTAGGCAAAACTAAAAAGATGTTTGGTGGCTGGTACTATGGCTGGGACCCTATATGTCCTGTTGATGAAGTTAGGTGCTGTTCTGAGCATTATTTGTGGCTATAGAGTGGTGTTTTGGTTGAGGTTTGTTTATGGCTCCTCAGACTGCTGTGTATTGCTATCGTGCGGTCGTTACTTAAGTTGGTTTAACTAGAGAAGCAAGCGGTCGGCAACATTCATCTCTCGAGGGGGTGTCTAGCTCGGTGTTACGGTGTTTGACCCTAAATTAATTTTTTGCCAGAATATCCCTTTAAGGTAAAATACATTAATAATGGTACCTTCATAAGGCATTGTTTTCTCTGTGAATAACACTTCATCAGCATTACTCTGACTTGTTTAAAATCACTTTTAAAGATTCTTAAAAATCCTTATAAATGCATTAATTAGTCTACTGTTATGGTGCTGTTGCTTTTCCATTTTAGGGTTTATTCTATGCTCTATCAAAGCTAAGCTGAAAAATATAGCATTTCATATGCGTAAGATTGGTATCAACCTTTGGTATCAACTATTTTCATTGCCTTTTAGCTGCAACCCGTCAATAGTAGCCTAAATCATTTTTCATTCTGATATTAGGTAAATGGCGTGAATAAACTGGCTTCAAGTGTTTCATATTTTTCCTTACTTAGAGTCGGGGTTTTTTTTTAGCCGGGTGATAAGCAGGTTTCTAAAGGCTGTGACGCTGATGTCCTCATTTTGTTTCCCTTCGCCGTCTGTCTCTGGATGAGCGGTGAGCAGCCATGGGAAGAGTTGATTAAAAAGCCATAAAGCTACCGAGAGAGAGACAGACAGAGACAGATTATTTAAGACAGAGGGAGAGAGACAGAGAGAGAGAGATGTACGATTGCACTGGGATCATCTCCTTGTGGCCAGACATCCTCCAGAGTATTGCTTTTGATGGCTGACTCCATTGACTGTGAGTTTACTAGCAGAGACACTCTCGGCTGATAATGAGTAATGCAGTCAATATTCTCCTGACAGATAAGACCCCTTTGGTTTGGACACATGGTAGCGCAGCACAGCTACAGCAGCTGGCTTCAAATGAAGGACCTGGCCCAGGGGATCAGTTGGTCATCTGTTGCGTGGCTCCCTGAGTTTGTTTCCAAAGTTAATACATCAGGATAGATTGAAGATCCAGCCTGGAGGGGAAATGCCATTTAATTTACTCTTAATGAAAACAAAGCTTCACTCCCCCTACAAAGTTCTCTCCCCCTCACCTGGAGTTATGGTGGCTGTAACGGGGACTACTTTATATAGAAAACAAGAGCCTGTAGCCACTCCAGGCTGAGAGGCTGAAATGTTTTTTAACCTTAAATGTACCTATGGTGCTTATCACTGGAATGCAAATTTTAGTTATAAAGTATAATATTATTGTGATTTTGCCAGTCCCTACAAATAGCACAGCACGCTAACAACAAAAGGTGTCCGTTGAAATAAAACTGTCCATGCCATGTGCAGTATATTTGTGGTGTTTAACCTTCAGTTTATTTACTTTTCAGACTCAGATTTGGAGTCAGCTTATTCAACCGAACTTTGAGTTACTGTGGGGAACGTCTGGCTCCCTGTGGACCGAGCAGTATTTCTTTCCTCCATCTGATTTTGCCCTGAATATATGAAAATTTCTTCACTTAAAAAATCTCACCCTGCTTTATAGAAACACTCAAATATATCATAAATGTGAACCCTTGCTGTGGGAAACCTTTGCTGTTAAACACTTTCCCTGACACCTGCCCCCTGCAGCTTTTTCAGGCTTTAAAACAACCATATTAAAAAAATCTGTCTTGTCGGTGTCGACTTGTTTTCGTTTTTTCTTTGTGAAAGGGCATCAGTATTCATTTCACTTTGTTGCATAACCCCCAAGAAAAGTTTGCACAGACTTTTTATACCAGTTAAAAAAGTAATCTGAACAACATCCTTGACTGCAGTGTGGTGAATGCAGAGAAAAACAGAGATTAACAGACCAATTTGGTTGCCTATCCTCCTCTTTCAGCTGTCTGCTCTTAGTCTATGGCCTGCATTGAATAAGCCTGAGCGTGTTTGTACATACAGGAGACCAGCCATCTTTGCAACAGTTTGATTCTTATTTTCACTGACAGATCTTTCATAACGTTTCTGCGTCACCACAGAAACTACCTGACTGCATTCTTAATAGGTGTATGTGTATTTTTCTATGTCTAGCAGCTTTCACATTAAGGCAGAGACTGTATGGTAACGGGGATGCCACAAGTGTTCACAGACTGTGAAGCCAAAACATCTAGAGCTCCCCCCACTGGCTGACTAAAGCAAAAGTCCTAAACCTTGACTCCCTGTTAGTAGATGCAGCATGGGTTAAGCACATTTTTAATACACCAAAAGCTCTCCTAAGGGTAATTTTAGTCTTTTTCTTCAGCACTTCCAGTTACACTGTGACACATACACACACATCAGGACACACACATACACGAAACTCACACTCTTAACACCCAACTTCACCCAACTCACTGACCATGGAAAGTTAGACATTTCTGAGGAGAACAAAGGGCCACTGCTTTAAAAGCAGCAAAATATGTCAATACATGCCATCAGAAAAGAGAAGAAGAGATATTATTATTATTATTATTATTATTATTATTATTATTATTGTTATTATTAACATAATTTTTATCATTGTTATTATTATTATTATTTTATTTTTTACCGTTGATATTATTATTATTATTAATATTATTATTCTCACTATTATTATTATTTTTATTATTATTATTACTGTTGTTGTTATTATTGTAATATTTTTTTCTACCATTATTATTATTATTATTATTATTATTATTATTATTATTATTATTACTATTATTATTGTTGTTATTATCTTTGTGTTAAAATGCTTTGGCAACATTGTAGTAACAATCATGCCAATAAAGCTCATTGAAATTGAAATTGAAATTGAAATTGAAAAACAATAATTTCCTGCAGTATAGGATGAGGAACAGCGAGTGAAAGCATAAACGCTGTAGCACAAGATAGTTCAACTTTCTACAGCCAGAAGAGTCTGCTTCAAAACAAGAATCTGTTCAGCTGCACCAACAGGTTTTATTGGAAAGTTCTGGTCAGCGAAAGGCGTGTTATATCAGTTTCATGACTCCACTAGAAAAATCACCTTTACCTACACTGGCAAAATATAATTCCAGCCCCTATCCAGGTGGTATTTTGACTTTGCATTTCTTATGGGCATGGAGGTTTGGTTTATTTAAAAAACAATCAATGTGTGAAGCATTTTCATTAAAGCTGGTAATATTTCTCATTCAGAAGTTTAAAAAATAACAAAAAAAAAAAAAATGTAAACAGTATTGAACATGACCTAGAGGTATAATACCAGATATTGCGTTGAAATTCTGACACTGTGCTGGTGTTTTAGCTCTCTTGCTAGCTGCTCCAGGTTGATTATATTGAAATGTTGCTCTACTGTGCTGCTATCTTGGTCTAATTGTTAAGGGCTGTAATGCTTTTTGGGGTTTTGTTTTGTAGGGGTGAAAAAACAGCATCCTCTTAGCTCTATAATGAGGAGTGCACTTCATGTAGCTCCACACTTTGCTTAATCTTAGTAAGGACTCCAAAGATTACTCATACTTGAGAGGAGAAGCAGCGTACTCTTTAACCTGCGGCATTTACTAAGCAGAAGTAAACTTGAGCCAGAATGTTTTAATAGGACAAAAACAAGAGGGGAAAAGAGAAGAAGACAGCAACTTCAGGTTAAGCGGTCATTAGTTTGCCCTATTTTACAGCAGTAAATGGTGAGCTGCACAGGAAGTTAATGGACCTTTGCAGCAAAGCTGATTCAGCAAACTCATAGCAGTTTTTGTTTTATTTTTTTATTTTTTTATCTGCTACATCAACCATTTTTCTCTTCATTCTCCCACTTTGCAGCCATAAAGTAAAATGATGAATTCACGTTACCTTGATCCCTGTATGGATGGCACCTTCTTCAGCTCAGCAGGAACCTTTACCAACCAGAATCCTCAGTTTTTATCCTTTAATACGCATAGTTGTCAGCCCATAAACACCTCCGAGCGTCTAACTCGTACCTTGAATCTGTTCGGAGAGTGTTCTGAGCCCCCAAGCACATTTTTAATACATCAGAAGCTCTCCTAAGGGTAATTTAAAATCTGCACTACATAAAAAGTTTAAGTCTTTTGCTCCCTCCTTGGTGATTTTAAGAAACAATATGGCTCAAATCTCAGGGTACTGTCAAAGATTTGTGCTTTGGAGCAGGCAGATGAACACATGCATTGGGAGGGATCTGGGACTCCTCTGCATTCTTGTGAAATATTACACAACTGATTGAAAGTGACACAGCTATAATTCAGCATGGTGAGAGGAACCATTGTGTGCTGCAGCTTGTACATATTCACACACACATACACACACAGGCCTCATGGATATTCGTAAAGGTGGGGCTAATCTTCTCACCTCCTCTTTATATATGTCTGTATCACTTTTAGAGAATAGATTTTTTTGTAACTTTAGAGCTTTTTGGCTCTGTGACAATGAAATAAGACATGAACTGACTTAAAACTCATGTCATGAATTATGTATAATTATCATGGCTGATGAAATATCTGCAAATTATTGGATAACTTTGATGTTACTGTTTGGATTATACTGTTTCATCTGATATATACAGCTGCTATTAATATTTTTTTCTTGCTTATCAACAAGTTGAAACACAGTAGCAGGAGGCAATATCACAGGCAACATTACAAGCTGTTGATCCAAACCAAAAGTTACTCACTAGAGCTTTAAAATAAGCATCTTTGCACTCAAAATCTTAGCTTTTCATAGGTGTGCATTAGCTATGCATTTGAAAACACACAAAAAATAAGAATATATCATATCCTCTTATTGGTATCAGCCATTAAGAGCGGGTTATCATTGATTAAGGATATTATTTATCATTAAAATAATCTATATCAGAGGACGATGTTTCCATAGATGCATGGAAAGAGCCTGTATTTACGTTATGTGCCCTACTCTTTCACCTCCACCTATAGTTGACTACTTGTTGGTTCTGTTAAAGCGTAACATACAATCTGCCAGAGACATGTCTTATTTGTGTTTTTGTACAAATGTAGATAATGTAGTTGCACCCCTTATATTGAATGGATGCTCTTGTTGGAAAATGGAAGCAGCATAAGTTCTATTGAATGCAACAATGCAACAAAAAAAAATGTAATTTGCAAGTTATATGCCAGACAATATATCACTTCATTTCTTTATCACAGAAAAAAAGGAGCCTTAATGTTCTTATAATCTCCTAAACTCAATGAATAATTCAATCTGATATAATGGACCAGCTATTGCTCGGTTATGGATTATGCAAGGACTGTAAAATAAAAGGGTATTTTTTCCCCAGCATGAATTATCTATGACCTTGTACATGTGTAAACCCTGCATACACACAGGAACACTTCAGGGATAAAGCACTCACAAGAGCAGTTGTATAAAATGCTTAGCCTGTCAGTGAAATGTATTCCCCCACCCACACATCTAAGATCTTCTTATTAAGAGTAATTTTTTTAATTATTGAAATCCTGGAGCTTTCTTGAATGAAGGTTGAGACTTTCTATGACTAAAGAGCTGCAATAATTCCACTGAATACAGTCAACAAAGGACCTAAATTGGCATAAGAGAGGATTCGATTTATTGAACTCGTGCAGAATCCAAGTAGGACTCTTAGAGGCTCACCTAGCATGACCTCTCCTCTCAACCATTTAAAGAAAACCACAAAAGAGTATTAACTAGGATGAAACTGTGTAGACAATAGCAATCAAAAACTCTGCAAAGCTCCAATTTAGAGTGTTTGCTAATGCAGACAGGCAGTTATCACCCAAACTCTATTTTCCGGCCTGTACTTCACAGTTCTCCGGCTGTTTGTAGCTCTTCCTTTGTACCGCTGAAACAAAATCTGGCAATTAGCTCTTATCTTCTCTTTCTGCAGACAAAAGCCGGAGCTGAATTGAGTTCATGGTTCATGGTCACACCGCTTTTAATCACAACCCAAGACATTAGCCATTAGCCGAACCAACAGCTGCGCTAACACCCACCACGCTCACAATGGAGTCGGCGCTGTCATTATGGGCGGTTCATTTGACAAGGTTGAGGTTACTAATAAGGCTGTCTTATTAACACGGGGAATCAAAAGAGGCCATTAGCTTGAGTACTGGGGGAAAGTTTTCTCATCATATGTTGACAGGCAGGCTAGCAGGCCTTTAGCTTTCACCCGGGAAAACACAGAAACACGAAGACCTTTAGCGGGCTGCTGCTCACATGACGAGTAGGATTATTTTTACCCTGCTTTTCTTCAGTATGCTGAATTTAGTGGTGGCAATTATACTCGGGTTAGAGTTGAAGCCTAATGAAAAGCTATCATTCAGTTAAGGTTCAAATACTTTCCTAAAATTATTCATTTAATTTTTGAGATCATCAGTAAATACTTCGTCCCACATTTAGCTTGAAAACAAAGTGAGACATGTCGACTTTCACAACCTTAATCAAGAAGGAGAAAAAGTATAGTTAATAGATTTTCAGGGAGTTATAGGCTGGACTTATTGTGGCTGAGAGGCTGTGTCTTTGTAACAAACTGGGAAGAGGGATTGCTTTTATTTACTCACTAAACCAACAGCGGATTATGTGTTTTACTATGACCTTAGTGCACCGGAGTAAAATTGGTAGTCATGACAACCACTGACATATTTGGCTGCAGGGCACAGGTTACCAGGTTGACTCTTAAAAGTGAAACACTGACAGCTCTTTCAGGTTATAATCTTGCTTAAAGCTTATAAAATTTGAGTCCACAGTGGGACACCCATCCTGACAACAAACCATGCAACTAGCAGACATAATAGTAAAGTTTACAGTTTTAATTTATTGTGGCTGAACGGTTATGTCTTTGCAACAAACTGGGAAGAAGGATTTCTCTTATTTACTTCCTGAAACAACAGCAGATTATGTGTTTTACTATGACCTTATGCTGAGTTCCAGTTGTACTCGGAAGTCGGGATTTTAGAGCTCCGAAAGTCGGACGATCCTCACCAACCCCGACTTGATGACAACGTGATAATTGAAGATGGCAGCGTAGTGCATCAGCAGTATAGAGTAACAGTAAAAACTCTTGTAATGAATTATTTTTCGGCTCTTCTGTTTTGTTTTTGTGAAATTAAATAAGTGGTCCATGTTATACTGCCCAACATTGAACTGTGAACACAGCGCTAATGGTGTTCATAGAGTAAAATACTGTGTTGTGGGTTGTTTAAATTACAACTGATACAGCTAACAACAACTAACAACAGCCGGCAACCGCTAACAACGGCTGACAATGGCTAACGACAGCAGTAACCGCTAACAACGACTGACAACGGCTAACTGTAGGCGTCCATCTTAGTTTTCCGACTTGTTAACTGGAACGCCGTCAACTCAGGTGTGAAGTCATTCCCAGCTCCAACATCCGACTTCCAAGGTAACTGGAGTAAGTATAAGCATAAACTATATAAGCAAAAGTGCACAGGGGTAGAATTGGTAACCATGACAGACGCTGACATATTTGGCTGTAGGGCACAGATTACCAGGTTTACTCTTAAAACTCAAGTCCACAGTGGTATAACCATCCTGACAACCTACCATGCAATGAGTAGACATATTAGTAGACTTCACGGTTTTAATTTGGATGAAAACTGCATGTGTATTTTTGAACATCTACTTTTAAATCCACTCACAAACTGTTTTCTATGCAGAAACTCTTCTAGGACTTGACATGGATGGATGGACACAGATATCTCCCTCCACCTTCTCCTCTTTAGATCCTTTTCTGTATTAGACTTCTCCATCTGGCCTGTTCTGCTCACTAACTCTGAGTTTGGGACGTTTCAATCAAGGGATCAAGGCTCCAGCTTTGACCGGCTCGCGTTGAATCAAAATTGAACAGGTGGTGGAACTGTACAAGACCAGCAAAAGAAACATACACAAAGGATTACGTGACTGCAAACATGGATAACCCATCAAGGCTATTATTTACCTGGCCTTTAACCCTGAAAATCATTGGTCGACATGTGGTCCGATGCTTGAGCAGCAACTGGATCAGAGCTGCATTAACTGCTATTGTTAATACACTGACAGCCCCTCCTGAATCTATCTTTCTCTCTCTCACACAAACTCGCTCATCAGCAAAAAGCCTCAGAGTTATTGATTCAGTTTGAAAGAAAGTGAAACAAAAGAGGCAGGAAGTAGACGTCTGCTGTTGTGACTCATTGATTCAGTTGTCAGTGCAGATCTCTGATCACTACTAGCTCGCACGTGTGGGTGATGGAATAGCAGAAACCAAAACTCATCCTACAGTAAATCACTTTACATGTGAGAGGAGATTGACCGCAGCAACCAGAGGTGCTGGTAAGTAAATAATACCCTCTTACTGGATTAACTACTGCTTTCTTCCTGCAGGTTTTCATCGACAGAAAACCTCCAAGATCCAAGCATGCTCTCTTACCAAGATGATGTATAATTAAGCATGCAAATTGCACATTATTCATTGAAAATTCACCAAAAGCTGCTTTTCGCCTTGACTGACATGAACAATTCAAGACCCTTCTCCCCAAAGGCATACACCTTGAGCTAAATGAATTCACATCCACCTGATTCTGAGTCAGATGAAGTCACTTTATCCCAGAGGGGCTACCCTGCTTTAAACTCAGCCAAACTTTTTTTTTGTTGCAATAAAATCTTAAAAAAAAAAAAAAAAGTATTCATCTGCTTCTGCAAAACCCTCGATGCACCCGGTTCAGTTTTTGCAGCCTAATGTGACTCAGTGTTGAATCACATTAAGCCGTGCCAGCTGGTAATGACACGGATACTATTTGTGATGACTGAGGCTGTGAGCGGGGCTTAAGGAGTCGTAAGAACAAGACAATGAGTCATTCATGGAAGTTTAAGCATAAAACTGCTTTTACAGGATATTATAAATAACCGATTGAATAAAAAGAACCCTCCTCACTAAAACATTACGGCCCTGTACCGTGTGGATTTATGTGGAGAGGAATCAATGTGTATGTTTTTCATAAAAACGTGAATCAATGCTGAATCTAGCCTTCGTTGCAGCAGTGGGAGAGATATTGACACAAGTGACCACATATTAGAGAATAATTTAGATTTTATTTATTTATTTTACTCCGAGTAAACCTGCGTTGAGTTGTGTTGAATTTTATTGACTTGTGAGGAGTACAGTTTTCCCATTGGCCAGGTTAGGACTCATTTCTGACCCAGTATAGGGTGTTAAACACAGATCGTATGGAGAAGTTGTCCTGAAACTGGAGGCATTTTCTACATTCGGACGTAAGTGAACTTTGACGAAGGACAAACTAAGGAGCGTTGGTCCAGACTTTAAATCGAACCCCTAAAGCAGTTCATTTCAGTGCAGGGAATTATAGTAGTTGGTATAATATTGTCGTCAACTGCTATGTCTTAATGTAAATTAGAGGTTTGGATGGACATTTTTAATAAATAACCACTTTAAAAGCAGATTTTAATACTGGAACTTTTACTTTTCTCTTTGCTGTGGACAGACTTTCTCTGCTTCTTGTTTTTCCTTGAATTAAATATTTGTAAGCTTCTGTTTTTTGGTATTTTTTGTGAGTGGTGTCCAACCTTTGAAGGATTTAATCATCTGCTTGAATGTCAATGAAGCATTTGACCGCTTTGCTGCTCCTGCTCAAGCCACCATTGATTTTATTGTTGGTTCATCAGCTTCCCACAATACCAACTGCATGTCATTGTCATCTTTTCAATTTTATTCTGCGCTTTTTAATTTGTATTTGACATTTCTGTTGATTTATGAGTGTTATCTGGTTTATTGCAGAACAGAAAGCTGTGATATTTTCATAAATGAAGTTATGACCATATAAATCTGCACAATACACTCTGAGCTGTGCTGTGAAACTTGGTTTTGGGTTAAAATTGAAGCATGAGGTGAAAGGGGTTCTTTTCAGAGAGGGGGACTAAAACCAGTTTTTCAAAGCACACCACTGCCACCCAGTGGACGAGCTGCCTACATGTCAGGAAACATTGTTTGTATCAGGAGCCATGGCTGACTATTTTAATCAGAAAATACGCCGAAGATTGGGTCACACAAGTGTCATTTTTCTTACATGCCTCTCTCAGGCATTGCCCCGGTTTAAGAGAGGATACGCACTCACTAAAGATGCATGACAAATATGACTTTTTGTTTTGTTTTCTTCTCTCTTTTCTGCATGACTTTCTCCACACTTTGGTCAAGTTTCCAGGTCTTTTAAGTTCACATCACTGTCCTATCAGAGGGTAATTGGCAGCCTGAAGAGTCCCACAGGTCTGTTTTGTTTACTAAGAAAATCTGGCATCCTCGGGATGCCTCTCTGCTATATCTCGCTTTTTCTCTCTTTTCCTGCAGTATGCTAATCCTTGAAGACTTCAGCTCCCACCTGCCAGCCCTCATTATTTTCATGCTATTTTTGAGATAAACAATGCAGAGTAGCTCTGTGCCAGTGAGGGTGCTTTCTATCATAATGAAGATGGAGATGACAGACAGACAGACAGACCCACAGGTAAAGAAAACACTCCATCAAATATTTGCTCATGCCGGGGTCAGTTTTCTGCAGCATACTTACACCGTGATGACATGACTTGCAGAAATTGAAGTACTTTTTCAGGTCAAAAGGATTCATAGATTTTATCAAATGTGAATGGTTATGTAGATGGAAGGCATTTCCTGCAAACAAAATGTGTTTCAGTATTCAATCTTTTAATTCCACAAAGCCCCACTGAGGTATTATCTAACACTTTTGTATCATACACCAGGTTCATGTAAATCAACTCAGAACAGTAAACAACAAGGATATGAAATAAGGAGACAATGGGGTCAGTAGACTTGTTCACTTCAATTTAAATGAGCATTTCAAACATTTTAGGGATCTTATCTTTGACCTGAGGCAGAGTGAAGAACTGAGCAGCGATATTTTACCCCTCCACTGCAAAATAGGTTTACAGATGACAGCAAATGTATTAAATATGCTGCAACCGAAGGGATCTTACTACATCTGCTGTGGGACTGCATTTAAATGAATGACATGAACTGTATTGTTAACACTGCAAACATAACTTTAACACTGTATCTCCAAAGTTCTTCTGAGGATGTCATGCATTCAGGCTGTATGATTTAACTTAGTTGACCATTATAATTTTTTGTAAACCTCCTCTCCTCTCAGACAAAAAGGACCAACTCACATCTGTGTCGCTCTCCTTCTGCTAAGTTTAGTTTGTTACAGGTTCCCTTTTTAAGTTTTGCTTTTGAAGCCCTGATGGATTGGCACCATCTAACTCAACCAAACTCTTTTATCTTCATACTGCAGCTAATTCACCGAGGTAAACCGATCAGCTGCTTCTGGCTGTGCCTGAAACAAGACTTGAAACCCGGGGCCATCGTGCCTTTGCAGTAGCTGACACCAACCTGTGGGACAGCTCACCGCTCTGCCTCTGCTGAATGCCTTTAACAGTTTTCACTCATCTCTGCCCTCTGACCTACTTTACAAGATGGGAACATCAACCCAGCAGCTCTTTGTGGAGTTGTTGAAACACAGAATAAGAATGATAATATTAATGGCAGAACTTGAAGCCTTGGAAATCCATTTTTCACTGTGATTAGATATTGGTGTTTAGGAAGGAAAAATGGATGCTCATAGACATTTCTATAATTTCCCTTAATGCAATTTTGAAAAGTTTTGGAAAAGTAGGGACATGTCTTTGAATAAAAAAAAAAATGCATTTGTTTCATATCAACATCAGAAAATACCTGATTAAATGTACTTCTGAGCTGTTATTTCTACAATTCATGAATTTAAATATCTATAAAAGTATCAGAATGAAAGAAAATACATGCAAAACAGGATGTTTAGGTTCATTGAAATGCCTCTATTAAGTTTTTTAAATTATGTGCTCAAAATTTTTATTTCCTCTGCTGATTCAAAAATCTTTTCGTCCAATGACAGGACTAAGTTTAAGGAATCTCAGCTACTCACGATCATTTTAATTCTTCGTCTGCATCACAGACTTGGTTTTTGAACATGCACTTGTCACCTCAAAGCAAAGATGGGGACAGTTTTAAGGACATTACTTGGTTACTGTAGTAGACAAATCTACATAATTCTGTGATTGTTCATGCCAGACAGAAATTCTGGGCTCACTGCTGATCTGCGACAATCAAACCTGGTGCAAACCCCCCATTACACTTCTATCCCTCCCCCCCTGCTCCTTGGATGTTCTTGGCCTTATCTCTGACACCTCCATCTCCATGCATACAATTAGCCCCCTTCCCCCTCCTTCTGTACTCCAACCCACCCACCCTTGACCATTACCTTCATTAGCATGAGCACAATAGCTAAATAAAGAGGAGGCAGCGAGCAAAAACCACAAGAGCACTTCAAGCACATTTCTATTCTTTGGCCACAGGCTCAGTTCGACCTGCTTGTTTACTCATTTAGATGTGGTTATGCCAACTTGTTTTTGCTCCAAATTTTGTTCTGTGAAGAAAATATGGTGCCAATTTAAAATAACCGATTAAGACCTGATGTGACTTTAGGGTCACGACATGCTGCAGACCTCTGCCACTGATGTGTGGTGTGTTAACCATCTAATCTATCTCAGGAGGAGTATCACATCAATGTTCAGCTGATTGGGAAGAAGATTAGAGGGGGCCAGAATAGGTTTATAGGTATCACTTCAGCCAGTGAATGGGCTCATTGAGTTGGCAGGAAGACCCAGGAACTCTGAAAAAATACCGAGAGGTTTCACTATTTTCTGGATAAATAAATGTGACAGGTGACGTTACATAATGAGATTGATGCCCATAATATGAAGCCATTTTCAAGCAAATCCAATTTTTTTTCTGGTTATTGGAGCCAAGATTTCCTGACCTGTTCAGTATCTAAAATACTACTTTGACTGAGAGTAATAAATACACACCAGACCTGTTTGTCTGTGTAGAAAAAGGGTTCATTTACTGAAGAACAGACAAATAAGCTTATGAGGGCAATATCACAAAGACATAGGTAGTTTTGCAAGTAAGGCATGTATCATCGTAGAAAAAATAGAATATATTTGTTCATATTTTCAAGTAGAAAAAGGATGTAAACAATTCTGAAAATGGAAATGTTCTGATTTGAAAAACTGGAAAAATACATTCACTTTTTTAGTGCAATTAAAACGTGACAGAATTTGTATTTTTTTCACTGCCAGAGGAAAAAGCAGGTTGTTAAGATAGTAAATACAACAACAACCTTAAACTTTGGTGCTTTAAAGTGAATTCCCTGGAGTGTACACAGTCATTAATCATAAGAGATACATAAAATAGACTGCAACCCTGTTGCTAAAAGAGACCGAGGAACAAGAGGTAAACCCACGGAAAAAACACTGGCCACTTTTTTACATTTCAACTCTAAGAAAAGACTGAACCTGAAATCTATACCAGATTCAAATGACACTCAAGTTGACAGTAAATCAAAAAACAACACACATCTCAGCATTAAAATCTCTGCTGTAGAACAAAAGACCCCATGTTCAATGCTTCTTAAAGATAAAAAGGGAGTGGAAAAAGAGAAACAGCTTCAAACTCCAGCTTTGTACTGCCTTTTGCCTGGAGGGCAACATGCGGGGTTTGAAACAGATCCAGCACTTAGTGTCTTTTCACACATGTGCAAATGTCCAGGAGGGAGGAATGAGCTGGGGTGGAGGGGTAGAGGAAGGACACAATGCATTTAGATGCAAAGCGAGTGTCTTTGGGAGTGTGTAGACATGAAGGTGGAGGTAGTATGTTTACAGAAAAAAAGCTGCGTGTGAAGTTTCTGTACAAAGCTGTTATGTCGCTTCAAAAGCCTGGGGGGAAAAAAAAGCCTGGTGCGTTTAGCCATGAACCAGGGACACACCATGATACAAAGCCCGCTTCCACATGTAGTATGTTGAGCGTGGGGTGAAGGGGAAGTAGGACCTGAATTCTTTGAACGTGGGGAAGGATTTTTGCTCAAAGCGTTGCTGTAAGAACAACTTGGCCTTGGCCTTGAAGTTGGCAAGAGCGACGACATCCATTGTGAACATCTGCTCATCCACTGTCGCCTTTCCGTGAAGGTTGTGCTTTGGATGTAGGCCATGAACGGGAGGCATGGGGGGACTCTCTGGCTGCTTTGGACTCTCGACAAATGGGAACGCAGCCTGGAAACCCATCCTGCTCTCCATTGTTGTTTTTTCTTCAATCACAGCGGCGTTCTCCAGACTATCCAAAAGTTTCATCTGTGGAGCTGGTTCGACTGACTTCTTTTTGCGGTTTTGACCGTTACGCCACAGCCAGTAGAAACAAGGCGACATGGAAGGGAACTTCAGCTTGAACTTGGTGAGGGACCATTTGGACTTCCTGACGTGAAGCTTGGCTGCATCCCGGAGCTGTTTTTTGCTTAAGTACGCCTGCCGGAAGCTTCTGTGTTTACGTCTGCAGATCCTCTTTCTGGGAGCTACCGGATAGTTGGTGTTGGACAGAAGTGGTGACAGACTCTTTGGACTTTGGCTCTTGTCAGCATCTGAGCTGTCTTCACTGCTGCCAACGCTGCCTTTGTACCCTCTATTGAACAGCAAGGCTTCTCGTCTCCAGTTGTAGTACGTCGATCTGGAGATCCCTGGAAAATTTCTTTTGAAGACCCTGAATGGGAGAGAGCCATTCATTACAATGCAGCTCTGCAGGCAGCGCTTAGCTTCCTGCATACTGGCGACATTCTGGGCCCGCTCCACATCTGGCTTGCCCATGCTGAGGCCAAACATGCTAGCCACGCTGTCATGGTGGTCCGGCTCATCCTGCTTTGCCTCTGGTGATGACCAGGCCTCCTGTTCTGTGCTCTCTCCAGGACTTATCTCTCCCGTGGATGATGAAGCAGAGAAGGTTCCTCCGGATTTCATGAGCTCGTGCTTCCAGTTGTAGTAAGACGACCTGGAGATCTCAGGGAAGAACTCTTTGAATTCATGTAAAGGGATGAGCTTGCCCTCCAAGTAGCAGGCTTGCAGGAAGTACTTTGCCTCGTACCTCGCTGCTGACTTCTTGCAATGCTCCTGCGTCTGCCTCTTCCAGCGGTAGAAGGTCCTCTTGGTGATGTTGTACTTATCTTTTAGACTCGGGTAACACATCTGCGAGTCTTGGTTCAGCAGCTCCTCGTTCTTCATTGGTGACTCCCTTTCTTCACTCTCGGGGCTACCGAAAGTGAGATCACTTGTCTGGACCAGGGCGACAAAATGATTTGGCCTGAACAAAGATTCAGACTGTAGTTCACCAGACCACATGATGTGAAGGGTCAGTGGCTCAGAGTCTTTGGGCCAGGTCCTCGGACGGATGACGCGGTTGAAGTAAGGTCGGATCTTGAGGTTGAACATGGGGTAGATGGAGTAGATATTGAAAGTGAGGACTGATGACAGAGCATACACATGCCACATGTTTGCGTAGGAGCCTGGAAAGCAGGAGGCTTTGACATCCGCATCAAAGATGGCCTCCAGGACCGTCACGGGAAGGTTGAGCATGTCTTCAGACTCCTCGGCACAGAGGCTGAAGCGCACGGCCTGGAGCATCATTTTTGAATCAATCATCCCGGACAGATAGTATCTTTTCCACAGCACCATTTCCACCACCGTCCTGACCTGAAACGACAAGGTTCATACTTTTATTAATATCAGAGAGAAACCGACAACATCTAAAAAACGGGGATGTGACTGATAATGGACAAAGCAGGAGAATAACAGAACACAAAAGAGAGCATAGTGTATTTCAATATACTTTAAGTTTAAGTGTAACAATGTTTAAGAATACTAATAAGTGGTTTAATCAAGTTAAATTATGATCAACTTGTACAAGAAGGGTTTGGATGTCCTCCTCGGGAGATGGGTACAAAAGTTTAATTGTGAACTTTTAGGTGCATATACTTCATACAGATCAAGATTATAAAATATTCTGCTCACCTGTAGCTCCAAACTAAGTCTGGTGTTGCCCACTAGCAGCGTGCTAACTGCGTCAAAAAGCAGGTTTCCTTCTCCCTTGCAGTTCAGAGGCACAAGGCCCGCAGGTGCATCTGCCGGGTACAGGCCATGAGCTGTGTCATCCACACCAGCCCAGTCAGGGAAGTCCTGACAGGGGGTCACAGGGAGCTGGAAAGGAGCAAGGGCCTGATCCACCTCCAGGGCTACTCTAGTTAGAGCGTCCAGGCCGGAGCTTTCTGTGGCCTCCTGGAGCTCCCTGAGCACGGACAGCACGACCTCCTTCCTCTGAATCATACCTGAGATCTTGTGAAGGCTGAAAAGACAAAGAGGAGGAGACTGTAAACTATGGACTGTAGAGAAAGAGAGGAAAGCTCAGGCAGGATATCAGGGAACAGAGCATCTTTAAGTCATGAGTGAAAACTTGCAGTGAATGTTAAAGTCTAACGAATGAGTTTCACAGCTTTGGCATCAATAAAAATAGTGCGTCTTCTAAATTCTTTATCTTGAGCTGTAAAACACAGTTTTCAGCTCATCCAGAGAAATCTAATGACTACAAGTGGTGGTTAAAAAACAGCAAATAAAGCACTTCTGTTTTCTTTTGTTGTATGTGTTTACCTGAGGAAAATCCATTTAACTCTGTCAAACAATTAAAGTCATTGTGTTGAACAAAGTCCTGTTGATGGTTAAAATAAAAAAAACGGAACTATGTCTTGACATTACCTTTACTATTAAAGTAGGACCACAAAGAGAGCTCACATTACACCAATTTAAATGTCTCTGCATTGGCTACTTGTCTCGTTTAGAACAGACTTTAAGGTTTCTTCGCACGGAACAATAGACAGCTATTGGACGTCTAGATTTTGGGGGTTGTTTTGGACCTAATTTCAACCGTCTAGATTCTGTATAAAGAATGCTCAGTGGGTTTATTGGTTTTTAAAGCTCTTAATGGCTTTGGCCCATCCATTTTATCTGATCTGCTTATACCTTATGCGTCAGGTAGAGCCCTCAGGTCTTCAGGAAGTTCTCTGTTAACATTACCTAAAGTTAAAACCAAGACATACAGTGAGGCATCTACGCCCCTGTCTATGGAACAGCTTACCTGAAGACCTGAGGACTGCCCCTAATCTTAATGACTTTAAAACCAAACTCAAAGCGTACCTTTTTAGTCTTGCTTTTAAATAAATTTTATATTATTAACTTTAAGTGTTTTTGAATTTATCTCTTTCTAGTTTTAATGACATGATAGTTTTTACTGAGCTTTTTGGGTGCTCTTATTTTAGTATCTTTTACTGTTTTTATTTCATTTCATTTATTATTTTATTCTATGTTACTTCGTTTTTAGATTTTAACCTAAACCCCCAGTGTTTCCTTATCTTAGGTTTTAAATTGGTGTTTCCTCAGTGTGCACCTTCCTGCTTCCACGAAATCAAGCCCTTTTTATGTGCATTTTAACAGTTGGGGTAGATTTGGCTATTCTTTGTTTCTTTTATTCCCTTTTCTGTGTAAAGCACTTTGAGCTACATTGTTGTGAATGAAAAGTGCTACATTAATAATGACTGATCTCTGTAATTTTGAGAACTTAATTAAACTCGCCAACATGACATAACTTTGAGTCAAGTTTACACCACCGCTCATTCACAGTCTCAGTCGATAAGAACAGTCCGTATGGAGTAAAAAGTTCAAAAGTAACGCAGGAAAAAAAACTTTACTTTACTGTAAAGTTGTATTAAAAAACCATAAACTTCTTACCTGAACGTCCAGAGACTGTAAAGGTGACTCAAAGAAAAAGTCACGAGCTTGTCGCGGAGCTGGTCTCACAGCTGGTTCCGATTATCTCCCTGAGAGTCAATCCATTGTGCGCGTGCTGCTCCGGTGTCTCGCGCTCCGGTGAGTTCTAGGAGATGAGGGGAGTGATAACCGCACCTCCCTGCAGGAAATTGTTAATCGTTCATTCGCCTTTTTCGTCCCCTGCGTCGCTAAACACCTCCTCCCCCTCTGACCATATCCCCTCCCTCCTCCTCCTCGTGCAGACTCCAGGCAGGGTCAATTTCAATGTGAAGTGGTAAAAGCTTTTGTATGTGGGCCTAAAGATCACAGACATGGTCTTGTAGGTCAACAGGTAGAGGTGCTTTTAGGTTTTTATCAACGTAATGTTGGTTCATTTCTTTGTCAAGGCTTATTTCATGTGTTAACAGTTCACTTTCAAGGTTATTTACAAAGTTCCTTCTTTAAAAAAAGAACAATTAGAGGTCTCTTTGCTTTATACAACCTATTTACTGAGTGTAAAGATAGATTTGTTTATTCTCATGCTTTCAAACCCGAATGTACTTTTTATTTACAGTAATGTTTTTCCTGGCCTCTAGTTTTCTTAATCGATTAAAGCGTATCACTGCTGATGCTGTTAGTCTTAGATAATATAACATATGAGCTATTGTGGGCTTTTTCTAGACTGTGGATCAGTCTACCCAGCCATATTACAGCCTCTTTAAAGACCCACCTTTTCTCCCTTGCATTTAATAAATGAGCACAGAGGAATCATAGGCACTGTAGCTTTTATTATTTTACTGTCTGTATTGTATTTTTTGTTATCTATTTATTTATTTACTTCTTTTATTTATCACATGTACAGCATTTTATTTATAAAGCACCTTTAAAAGACAGCAGTCAAACAAACTTTGACTTGACTATTGTCGCTCATGTTTGGCCTCTTTATGTGCTGCACTTTTTGCAGCATTAAACATGACATACAGATAAAATTGGGTTCTGTTTATTGCCTATAATTTGGATGCATGTATCTGTATGTGACCATAAATGAGATACACAACATTTTTTTCCAAACGCCTGTTTGTTGATTCAAGTGGAAATGTGCAGACTGGGTGTGGACAGTAGCTTTATGAGCAAAGAGGAGGCCTCCAGGTCTGCTTGTTTCTCCACTGTATCACTTTTAACACCTCCTCTGCTGCCTTTTGCAGGATTTCAGTGATCAAGGCCTTTTGTTCCACACACGCACAACAATCCCAGTGACTGTCCCCAACCCCCAGCCACTCCTTACTGTAGACCCACACACACACACACACACACACACACACACAACAGGGGACTGTAGCATTTGGCCCCCGCTGATGTGTCCACTCCAAGCACTTGGCAGACAAGCTGGTGCCTGAGTTCACTGGGGTTCAAGGCTTTGACCTGAAGCTTATCAGCGACTTGGACAATGTGTGAGAGTGTGTGTGGGGGTTTACAAAAGCCGAAGCACAATGTCACCACTTAAGTTTGTATTTCTAACACTACATGCTGAGATAATGCATCTAGACACCCGCTTGTAAAAAGGTATGGTAATAAGTGTGTGAATCAAAACCTGTCGCTCTTGATGAGTAGCTTCCTTCACTCGCTGTCCCTGGAACAAAAATCTAATAAAGGTTTGTCGACAGAGACCCAAAAAATCAAATTGAATAAACGCGCTGACGGGAAGGGGGCAAATGAAACAACAAAAATTCATCAAATCAACAGAGTGCAAATTAATTTCTGCAGATTGCTTCATAAATAAGATTTTAAAAACATTTTATACAGCCTACATTATTCAGCAAACTTTAAGGACCCTTTTGTGTTTCGTATCTTTGACATACTTCTATGACACAGACCTCCTGGAGCTTTGAATGTGAGTTCAGGGACTTTTTTAACACGCTTTCATATTCTTGACAATATTTCCAATCTTGCTAACAAGTTTCTATCTTCTGTTCAGATAAATCCTGTCTGCATCCATCCTTTTTGACCTGTTTTTGTGTAATACAATAAAGAGGATGAGTGAGTTTTCTCTATGAAATATGTAACAAGGGTTTCTAACTCATCCTGGCACAGCCTCTCCACATTATTCAACTCCCCCGTACTTGTCAGCGTTTGTGTCTTCACCATCTCTTCCACCCCCTCAGACTCTTAGCTGTAGCCAATCACACACCTTAGGTGTGTAGATTAGCTGTGCTGCACTGCACTGTGAACACAGTAGTGGGCTGGCTGCAAGCATTTAAAATGCAAATAGGACAACACTGGGACCGGCTCCGGCAGTCTCTCACCTGCTGTGGCTGTTTGTTTGTTCGCATGCGTGTGCATGTAAGTCGGTGTGTGCACTGGCAGGGAGAAAGTGGACAAAACTTCAGTCTTATACAAACTTTAAAAAACTATTTATAATTGCTTTGGAACAATGGCGAGTTTGAATGATGTGTTTGGGTTTGCAGCTTGGCAACCTGCATGTTTGGTCGCAAAGAGCTGATGCTTCATCACCTGCACACATATGACGTCCTAAGACAATACAACCTAAAACTCTTTGGCTCGTTCAAGTTTTATAAAATATCTTGCACGTATTACAACTACTCATTATTTACTCAAAGATTGACTTTCTGAATGTACCTTTACTTGAAACCTTAGACATAGTCTGATTCTACCAAACAGAGAGCGTTAAAGCAGTAAATTCATCACGTCCTTCATATTGATTTTGCACACTCAAGTGGTTCTGGATAGCAAAATCAAGAATGTGTGACAGTCTGTAGAAGAAATGACATTAAATGCATCACAAGTTTAAAATAAAGTTTATTGGAATATATTTAAGTCTTCAATTTCTTATTGACTTCTTACAGGCGAGTTTTACATCATCAGATTCAGCACAGACCCATGGATTTAATAGAACAAAAAAATCAGACACAATTCAAGCTTGTATCAGCAAATGCATGATGTTGACAGCTGGTTATCTATAGCGGACACTAGCATACTCGGAGGACTCAGACTCAAGGACCAAAACTCGGTTAGATTCACTGGGTATCATGATATCCGCGTAGATCACGTCATCTGCATCCGAAACCTAAGGTGACACACATTTAAATGCTTGTAGTGACTGACAGCACACAAGAGTTTTGTCTTTTTATATTTGGAAGTGCGGTGTACTTACATTGTTGGTGTCGGTTGTGTAATGTGTCTCTTTTGGCAGCTGCTGGCCTACAAAAAGAGACCAAATGTGATCAGTATCGTACAGACTTTGACGGACTTGTACATGATCATAACAAACAGTATTTACAACATCATGAGGACTGATTGTCCAACATCTGCAGCCTCTATTACATAAGGAACTGTCACATTACCCCACATTTGCAAAATTTTGTCCCATACAATACAGCCTGTGTGTCAAGGTCACTATTGCCTCAAAGACCACAAAGCACGGTTGTGTAAGGTGATGTGTACATGAGGGCGCATGCCTGGAAGTGACAGTAGACATGTATGGACATGTCTATACGTGGGAACCTAGAGGTTGTATTGTGAGGATTTCTACAGAGCTTTTCTATACCTTCAGGAAGTGTAACAAACACTTACTTCTTCTTCTTCTGTTCACAACAAACACCACCACTACAGCTAGAAAAACTGCACATCCCACCAACCCCACAGCCAGGCCGACTGTGTCGTGATTGCGACCTGTGAAAGTAAATTGAACTAGTGAGAAAGAAAGGTTTTGACTGTTGAAACGAGTTTTTAAATTCATGAATTACATCTGAAGAGCAGTAAGGAGGCGAAATGAGAAAGTTAACTTCACGTAGTTCAGTGATAGTACAACAAAATTAGGGACAAACCTCTGAAAAAAACTCACTGATGAGAATTTCCATACACAAGAAATCTCTTCAGTCCTCAAGCACATTGATTAAAGTCTTTAAGAACTTGTACAGTACCTTGACCTTGACTTTCAGGTTCTTCTTCAATCATGATTCTTCCTTTTCCTTGAGGAGCTTCACAAACACGACAACATGTCTCATTAATAATTATCCTTTGCGTTAAACATACAGGATTATTCTGCTAAGGCTGAATCATACAGACCTTGGAGTCTCACGCGAAACTCCACAGAGGTCAGGACTTGGTCATCAACAGTCGCCTGACACCTGTACTTCTTCGTCTCAGGTTTTAGAAAGGCGACAGTCAGAGTAACATCGCAGGCAGACTTCTGATCTATTCCATGTTGTGAGTCTTGCTGAATTATAGCACCGGTTTCATCCACCCACAGCAGGCTGACATGTTGTTGCACCAGTGAGTAGCAGTGTCCCTGCTGTATATAGGTGAGGAGGACACACTGCAGGGTCACCGTTTTACCGGGTGTGAGGGTTAACTGCAAGCTGTTGGAGACAACTGAAAGAAATAAAAAGAAAACGTCTCTTTTTGCTCCTCTCAATCTTCCTCTTACCGTCTCGTTTTTTTATTTTCCTCATAATACTTCAATATGGGGAATACTCACCACTGTAAATAGGCAAGAGAATTGGTCTCCGCTTGCAGAAATGATGTCCAACACTCAAAGGTGTGATTCTCAAAGTACATTTTGAATCCTCATCCTGCAAAGCTTGAGCTCTCTGGATCTCTCCGTTACTGACTATAGAAATGTAGTCAGCTGTTTCGTCCGTGCTAAACCGCCAAATATGATAGCAGACCACATCTCGTTTACATGAATATCTAATACCAAAACTCTGCTGGGCAAAAATCATGTGTACACCTGTGGAAAGAAGATGAAAAAGTGTCAGTAATACCTGTACACAACAAAAATAAGATTAAAAAATGAAGAGTACAAGGTTAAACTTACTACTTCTGATCATACATGAGAGGAACAGCAGTCTAACCACTGCATTAATGATCCCAGCCATCATGTGTGCAAGTCAGTTCACTATGCAGACATTCACTGTTGTTCCCTTTATTTATGCGGGTTAAGAGAAATGTTACGTCATGAGTTTGCCAACATCCTCATCCAGCTGACGTCTTGATAACATTTCTTTAAAAACATCTTATTGGCTTAAAATTGTGTAAAACTTCAAAACACAAGCTCACAATTAGTAGAAAAAAACAATTCAGGTACAGTGTATTCTTTAATCTGGATTATTGTAGGATTGTTTTGTTGATTTATTCACTAAATGCTCCTGTGACCTAAACGGGGAACGTCGTCTCTTTGTCTGACATGTATCTCAAGGTGCTGCTTTAAGGCATTCAAAATAATGGTAAAATTTCTGTGATGTATGTTGAAACAGCAGGTAAACGTTCATAGGCTTCTGGGGGGCATGTTTTGGGTGTTTCTCCGTGACTGAAATACAAAGAGGATGATTGACGTTAACCAGAGGTGGGAAAACTACAGAATATCAAAAACTCAATGGTAGATTGAAAAAGTAAATAATACAGGAAACCACCCAGACAGTAGGAGGAGTTTTCTTTTAACTTGGATGAACCATCCAGTTATTGATCAATAGAGGGCGCCATAACCACAGTAACTGCTCAAAGGGTTTCAGCAGAGAGTGTATTTCTACTGTATATAAATGCAGTCTTCATGTCAGTGTCCCTCTAGTAAATCAAGAACTTTCTTAATTTCCTTTGTGCAAGTTTTTTCTGTAATTTACAACCTTTTTATCCATCCTATAGTGACTTTTTAAACTTGAATCACAGTCATGATTTCATTCCGTAAGTGATTTTGATACAGAAGAATGGGTTTGAATGAGCTCAGTCTATAGACACCAAAAAAGGGGTTCAATTTGAACCCTTTGACAGCTCACCCTTTACTTTCAGATACCAGTTTAACAAACTTAGATTAAATATATTAGACATTTTAAATATACATTTGATAAATATTTTGATTTGGTCTGTCTCTGGTTCAAACATAACAGCTTCTTTAACACCAGTTGAAATCTTGAGATATGAGGCTTTAAGTCAATAAACTTGAGGAAACTTCAGTCTTACCCCCTCAGATGTTACCAGTTACGAGTTTATGAACTCTCTGGTGCAAGCAGAAATGTTTCAACACAGTTTCCATGTAGGTTCACGTCCACTCATCTGCATATACTTCCTCACTCATTAGATTTTTCAGGAGTCAATCCCCTTGTACGTGTCCACATACTTCACCAATAAAGCTGATTCTGGTTAATCTGTCTGCTCCCCATAAACACACCAAAAAGAGGACGATGAATTCCAGCATTTGTAAGTAAACTGAAGTGAAATCCTACTCCACATGAATCATAATGTGACTGCTGTGGTCATCTGTAGAAGGGTACAGGGTGGGATCAAATCAAGCAACCAGCTTCTGAATTAGTTTTATTTACTCATTTGCACAGCTCCTCAGTGACAAATATAGACAAATAGGTTAAGTATGACTATGTTACAAAAATATCAAGTCTGAGTTCTTCCATATATAATCTCTTCAGTGTAAGAGCTATCACAAACTGTGCAGACATTCAGGGAACCACACGCTATTTTGGACTGAAAAATAGATGTTATATTTATACATTTACAAAAACACTTCAATACTAAATCAAGTTAATGTTTATATCCTGTACATATTGCATCTTCAACGACAGCTGAGCTGAATATTTGTTGTGTCATCGCCATCAACAAGTTGGAGATATAATCTACATTATTGGATTACAGATACCAGCTGCTGTTCAGGGCTGGAGTTATTGATTGAGCCGCAGCAATGTCAACAGACACACTAAACATCTCTTTACAGTTTTTCGTTTTCATTAATCATCATTTCACAGCGTCCTTGCAGGATTTCAAGTTTCTCAGCAGCAATTTAAGCTAATTTAAACAGCAGGGCTCCAAGAAATGATTCGACTTTGGACTCTTTTGGCCAGAGCGCCCGTGAGTGAGTCCAGAGGGGATACATTCAAGATACTCAGAGGTTTTTGTGCATCTGCAACTTGCTCTTTAACAGCCTTTTAAACAGTGTATGACCTAAAGAACAGAGGAGAAGGGGTTGATCACACAGCCCTCCTTAGTCTGTTCTCCCCAGACTTTTGGTCATACACCGTGGACAGTATAATTGTTGTTTGAAACTGTTGCTAGTTTCAGAGCTGTGAAAGGGGCTTGGAAAAGCTGCTGCAGTTGGACTGTACAGCAAGAGACGACAAAACATTTAGACACAAATACAGAGAAGAAAATGATACTGACCACGCACATGCAGAAAGCAAACAATTCCAGCTCATTAGCAACATCTAAACTCATATACAGTTATTTAAAATAATCTGAATAAAGCCCAAATCCAGATTAGATACAGTAGAAGAACTATTGGTACATAAATATACACATTTTATCAAGTTTAGGGAAACCATACCTTCAATATTATCCACAGGGTCACTCCGCCAACACCCTCTTCTTAAATAAATAATCTAGTGCCAGAAGCGAACCATTTTTGGAAGATTTAAAAGCTTTCCCAGCAGATTTGTCTAAATTCAGCCCTTAAATGAGTTCGTATGATGTTTCTCAGTCATACTGCATGTTGTACAATACCAAAAACGGCCTTGAGGCTTACTCTAGGTACAAATGTGAGCGTTGTTGGATCAAATGTATATAAAGTTTCCAATTGGAAATGCACTTGAAACAAACTCAGTGTTAGACTTCCACAGAACCGAGATATTTGGGCCGTTTCAAACCCGGTAATAACTATGTCGCACTTAATTTCAGAACATCAGCACGTGATGAGGAACAGAATAGCAGAATCAGTTTAGTAGCACATGCAGCACCATGTTCCTCTTCTGGATCAGGACGTTTACGCAGCAGTAAAGCCAAAAAATTCACATTAGCAGGTCAAATATAATACGCTATCAGACCAAACAAAACATTAAAAAAAAACCAGCATCTACAAGCGACATTAAATATCGATACTTCCCTTCAGGAGCCTTCAAACCTGTGTTTAACTTGAAAACACGGGTACTAACATGAGCTGTGTGGACCATCAGTGCTTCGGTGATTACCAGGTTACAGTTAATTCAAGATTTTTTTGGTTTGAATTGGACACAAGTGATAAGATCTTCACACTTCACACAATGCTACATTCTCTCTCTCTCTTCACTTAGCTCTTCAGAGGAGTGGCTCTACAGTTCAGATGCAGTTGGGTTCACAAAATAAAAAGTATTCGTCTCATAAGGCAGGAATAATGTTTCCGACATACATTAAAAAAAAGAAATCAGTCAAACTCAGTAATATATACAGCTGCAGTAAAAACTGCACGAAAAGATATAAATCCAGCCAGAACATCAGTGTAGCGGCTCAATAGCAGCTCTGGATGGGTATAATACACGAGATGTGTCACACATAAAAGCCACTTTTTTTAAAACTTCAGAGGTGTTAATAGTTCGGGTTTTTCAGAGGTAACACCGTCACTAACCAAAGTTTTAAATTATTGCTAAAAATAAATAAAGAGTTTCTCCTTTTTGAAATGAAAGTCAAAACAAGTCTGGAGAGAAGGTAGAAAGCAGCTGTTTCCTGACTCTGACTTGGGAATGACTGGTCTAAAAGGAAACAGAGTCAGACAGTCAGAAAGAGTTTGTGTGAATAACCGTCTTCCCTTGCTCTTATAAAGTGCCCAGGTTGAGGCTGACACCTCTGTGCCGTCACAGGCTGGAGGGTTGGGCCTGCTGTTGTATCTGTGCGTGATGAGGCGGCTGAGCTGCCTCGCAGTCTTTAGGTCCCTCCTCCACCCCCCGAGCGTACATGAGGACAAGGGTGACAGTGGCAAAGGTTGCAGCGTTCACGGGGAAGGCTCTTAGCAGAGTGGAGGTGAGGCCGCGTGTGAACACCATGTAGCCCTCTTTCCTGACGCTCTGCCGCACACAGTCAGCGATGCTGCTGTATTGGTTTACTCCGCCCACCCCGTCTGCCTGTAGGCGTGATTTGATCACATCTACAGGATAGGTGGAGAGCCAGGAGGCGATGCCAGCCATGCCCCCTGCAAACAGCAGTTTAGGAATCATGTAGCGGTCTTCTGGCTCACAACCAAGGCTGCGTGTCAACACGTCATATGCCAGGAAATAAACACCGAAGCCTGGCGTCTCGCGGATCAGCGTGGTCAGCATGCCTCTGTTTACGCCCCACAGACCCTCGCGGTTGTAGATGCGAGCCAAGCAGTCAAGGGAGTTCTTGTAGAGCTTCCTAGTGGACTTCTTCTCTCCTGTTCCCTGCATTTGCATGCGGGTTTTAGCCAGCTCCATGGGGCAGCAGATGACGCACTGAATGGCACCTGCTGCCGCTCCAGCGAGGAACTGGTTCGTGGGGGTGTCCTGGCCTAGCAGCCTCATGGTGTTTCCTTGAACTCCAAACACTATCGCATTGATGAAAGTCAGGCCCATCATTGGGGATCCGATTCCTTTATACAAACCAAATACCTACAGAGAAGATTAGAGAAGTAACATTAGACAAGACTTCTTTACATTTAAAGTAGGGCTGGGCGAGAAAACGATATATATAGAAAATTAATTATTCTAAATATCAATATATGTCAATATGCTTTTCAATAGTCTGCATTCTGCCATGTTTTGGAGTTGCTCCGGGTCCACTTTGTGCTGAACCAATCATGTGCTGACTTAGAACCAAGTAGCAAACAACTGCATAATAGCAAGCTGCTGCTACACGCAACCATAGCACTTTAAAACGTGAAGCCGACAACACTGTCTTTGAGAAAAAAGAAAATGAGCGCTACCTCAGCCAGAAATGCAGATGAAGGCTCAAAAGATGACAACATCGTCGACATGAGAACGTTGGTGGTGTGGAGGTATTTTGGCGTTTTGAGGTCAGGTATGAAGCAGAGTAATGTGCACCGCAAATTATGTCGAGTACATGTTCTCGCAAACTCGGGGAATACCTCAAATCTTTTTCACCACCTGGAGCTGTGCCACGCGGCAGAGCACGCGCAATGCAAAAGGTTACAGACCCCAAGTGTATCAAGGAGCCTGTGCAGCCTGTGCAGCCGACCATTCAGTCCGCTTTCTGTGGCGCAGCGCCTTACGACAAAACATCGAAGAGACACAAAGACCTCACAGATGCAGTAGCTTATTGTATTGCAAAAGACATGCAACCAACAAGCACTGTTAAATTTTATTTTTTACATCATGAGATATATATCAATATCAACTGATGTAAAAAAAAATATATCGTGATAAACTTTTTCTCATATTGCCCAGCCCTAATTTTAAACCAATAAAGTCTCTCATATCCACCTCTGCTTTGTGTTGATTGGATGAACTGTCTAAACTGCAGACCGCATGAGAAGAAAGATCACAAGACAGCCATAAAAGCAGTCTGATGATTTACAGCTTCCCCTGACTGTCTGAGTCAAAGTCACACAGCAGTCATTTTTCTCAAAAACAATTTGCTTCTGTTGTTGTTATAGTGAGTTTACACCACCCTGATTTTTCTCCAAACTTTCATTTTAAGTCGTGTTTAACTCCTTTGTTTGATCACTGTTACTGATAGCTCTTATCTTGCAGCATGAACAAGAGATACGAGTAATGTTATCTCTCAGGACAGGACGTCTTTCTTGCAATTCTGTTCTACTTCTTAATGAACAAAGCCTGCAGCACAAGTGAAAATTTTAAAACACTCTGTGAGCAATGATACAAACATGATACCACAGTTTGAGAGATCGATTTGGAGGTGTTATTCTGATTCTTTGAACATAAGATTCTGTGATATGTATGAATGGTTCAATACACGTCTCTGACTGATAGTAGTTTGTGTGTTAAGACAGCGATGTTAAATCCAAACACACAAGTCACCAGATTAGTTAGGCCAACAATAACTAACCCCGATCAACAAACCACACTCAGCCACCCTCATAGTGTCCTTTACTTGATCCTCACAACTGAAGGTGCCTTACTCTGTCATGAGACCAAGAGTGACATAACTCTACTATCAGGTAACTGACCTCACGTCGTTAAAACCATCCAAGATGGCTGGACCTTTCTAAAGATAGACTCTGCCAAACATAACTACAGGATCCGGCTGGTTTTATCCTGAGCAGCAGGCTCACAGTTTCACAGCCAAGAAAGTTCGATGTAAACAGCCGCGAACCATTTAAAGGAAAACAGAGGATCACGTTCGACTCCAAAGACACGAGAACCTTCAGAGACAGACTAAAAAAAGCAAACAAATACATGTCGTAGCCTGAAGCTCCGTTCAGAGTTTCTGTCGATGAGAAAAAGACAAACTGATACATTCACCTTCACAAGCCCAAGATATAGCTATGATGCTGAATGGCCCACTTCAGGCTATTTTTACATTCCCTGCGACTTCCTACATGACACGATTAAGACCACATCTAAATACTGAGTCTGACTAGTCGCTTACAGTCAAACTAAATCTGCCCTACAAATTCAGCGGAGTCAAAAGGAACATATTTGCTTTTGAGATGAAGTTTAGACGAAGAAGTTAAGAACAAAAGAGGCGGAAAATGAAAGACGACTTGAAACATGTACTAAGACTAGACTTTGTAACTTTCCACCACTCCTTCAGCAAATGTAATAAGTAAGCTTGTGGTAAGCTCGTTGCCTTTAAGCGGTAAGTTTAAATGTCATTGATAGTGTATTGTTCTGTGAAGCAGTTGTTGGATCACCTGCTCTGTTGTCACATGACTCTCTGCCATGCAGTGCACTCTGAAGTCTATAGCTGGCTGCAGGTAATCAAACCTGACTCATTAAAATGTATACCACTGATCCCGATTCTTTCATACTTAACTTTAGCTCGAGGTAAAAACAGAAAAACACCTAAAACCATGACGATACTAGATATGATGAGGGGAGACCACACTGAAGACTCACTATTACTTCAGACTTTTTAATGATCAGTGAAAATCCTAACTTGTATCAGTGCACTTGTTACATAAATACAGTATATTACATTCGAATTGTATGGGAAATTAAATCAACATACCGACTCCTGCCGTATGATGGACTGGAAGCAGTGATAGGTCCCTCGATACAAAGGCTTATCAACATTTTGGACCTGCAGTCTCACCTACAAAAAAATAAAATAAATAAGGGGCAAACTGATCAGTTTCTTTATTGTCATTAATAATATTTAATAATCATTCATTACACAGAGGGATACACAGAGTCAGTCAAAGGTGGAAGTACAGCCATGACGTGGAACTAAAGCACTTAATAATACGATTCTTCTCTTTTTCTGGGTGTTTTCTTCAGAGCCGCAGAAGGAAACTGGGCCCACACCTTGCACAACAGCTATAGGGTTGTTAAATGACCTACTTAAGTAGGAAAAAAACACATGTTGACTTTTGCCCACCTTAACTGTGTCAAAAGGGTGTCCGACCAAGACTCCAGCAGCACCTGAAGACAAAGGAAACAACAGAGATGAGTCGTTATGACCAGATCTTCCCCTTTTCGTTACACGCAAACTACAAGCAGCGTTGACTCAGATTTGGTTTAAAAGATTTCACAAAGTTGTCTATTTTAATCTAAATATAACACAACATGATTTCTTGTTTTGTTGTCTCTTTTCTCATGCTTGCAAAATTAAATACAGAGACTTTAAGGCATTCATGCCAGTTATGTTGGCATCTGTTTCTCTGTGTTTCGGCTGTTGAACTAAATGCAAACTCTGCATTCTCACATTCCCGCCTGTCTCTGTTATGGACGTGTTTTAACTCTGAGTCAGTCTGGATCTCTGCTGACTTTTCATTACCCTCATAGCTTTGGTACACTCCACTTTTTTTCTCTGAGCCAATGACACCTCAGGCCTGTCTAAACATTTCGAGGCCAGCTGGATCGGTCTCTGATGGCCACAGCTCTGGCTCCTCCTGGCGCTGTTGTGTAATTTAAGAATATGCTGCCATCTCCTCCGGGGTAACACTGACTTATTGAGCCAGAGCCAACTCACTGGCTATCATCACCCCTTAAAACTTGCTTTAGCATTCCTTTGGAAGTTACATAACCAAGCCTTGTGGAGTAAAGGCCCATGTTCTGGTTCCAGTTTGGGCTTCACACCTGAGTCTATGTTGAAACTTGATAATAGTACCTGGACAAAGGTTATAACAGTTAACTAAAACAAAACTAAAATTTATAATACATTGCAGTTAACTCAAACTAATAAAAAATTGAAAAGAAAAAAACGATTAGTAAACTAAAACTCGTGTTCGCAAAACTAACTGAAACTAACTAAAATTATAGACAAAATGTCCTTCGTTATCGTTTTTTACAATATTTATTAGCCTTTAGGATTTAAATTAATCCGACACATTTTCCCCACCAATTTTATGACAGTTTTCGGCAGTTGTCAGCGCCGTACGGCACCATCAGAGCGATGTAATGGGACGTGCTTGTTCACTGCACTGACTGGCTGTGCGCTGTGCTGTGACGGAGCTTGTGTTGTTGGAACAACTTGGAAAAAACCGCTAAAGTTGGGAGGAGGCGGCAGTGTCCCATAAAACTAAACTATAATGACAAATCCCAAACTATTATAACCTTGACCTGGACTAAACATGAACACCAGTGGCAAAAAACAGAGAAAATTAACCTGATATATGACTTCATATATTTGAACTTGACATAATGGACTCACATAAAAGTTTCATATAAAAAGCTCGATAAGTTGCATTTTAAATATTTTACATTCCTGCAATTCCCAGCTATCATACAGAGGTCTGATCTTTTGGTTTAATGCTTATCCTGGTCAAACTGTTCAATAACTGAGTCTGGTCCCTTACATTATTAAATATTCATTTCTTAATTTGCTTCCTTAAATTAGGAAGTAATGTTAGAAGAGAGTTTCTCAGTCTAAAGGTCCAAAATTTAAATATAATTGAGAAAAAACTATCTGAAGTGACCTGTCCACCTACCTCCAAACAGTAAACAAACCATAGACAGCTAATCCTACATAAGCACCTGTCGTGTCAACTGACCTATTTGTAAAAAGAACCAATCAGGAATGAGCCCTAGCTGTGAGCCAAAGAACACAAGCATGCGTGCGCTTGACACAATAATGAGTGGTCATTGACCTCAGTGCACTGGCATGAGGACGGGAAATGCAAACAGTGGAGTATGTTGCATCATAGCTGTTATTAAAAAATTCCTCTGAGCACCTATTCATCTTGAGAATGAAAGCTCGAGTGTTTACTTCTCTAGTTACAAAAATGTTTTCACTTTCATGATCTCCTTTCCAGATCTAGGTTAACAACATGTTTTCATTTCACTGATGAAGGTTCCCCGAAATCATCCACACACTGAGAGGAAAGAGGAACCACACGGAACTGCTCTGTCCTTCGCTGTCGAGAAATGCCTGGGATTGGTCTGCGAGGGGGAGTGCACTGATTCATGTCCTCTGCTGTGTGTGGAAACTTAAAACAGTCGAGCCGTCTTTGCTGGGAGGCTCAGGTTGCACTTGGCTGTTGTCAGGACACTCTGAGTTCTGAGAAGGGTGTTCCAGTGTCACCAGCAGATTGGTGCACAATTTATGAGTGTGCACAAATCTGAATCAGACATAAACATGTGGAACGTAAACAGGGCACCCAGACTATTAGAGAAGTCTGGTTGGTTGTCGTGCCTTCAAATATAGTCAATTCTAGTTGAAGACAAGGAGAAATTATAACAGATATTTTCTCAGGACTGTTTCTCTTTCAGCTTTCAGCTATTACGCAGAACAGAAGCACTTAGGGATTAATCAAATGTCAATTTCAAACATGACTAAGGCTTACCACCACTATAAAATTAAACTAATAAAGATAAAACATTCCCTGTTATCATAACTGATTTCTAGGCCGAAAAGTGTGGGTTTAATTGGTCTGTGTCATGTTAAAATATATGCCTGGGTCTTAAAATTATATAGATTAAAACTGAAAGGTCTGAATGAAAGGTTAAATCTTCAGCCTTTGGTAAATTTAAGTACAGTAATACCCCTAAAGTGCTCCACTACAAGTTCAAGTTCAAGTTCAATTTAGCAAGACACATATACAGGCTTTTATTGACTAAAATGTACATTAATCATGTTCATCTATGTTGTTTTTGTTTGTTTGGTGTTCAGAATGTTTAAAGAGCTTTAACTGGGTGGGAAAGACTGAAACTGTTAGTGATGCCTCTTTATGACCTTTAAAAGCAAACAAGACCATCAACAACATGACTAATGATTTCTCTGCAGTAATTTTTTTAAGGCCTCAAACCACTGAGAGAGGGGAAGTGTCTGACCAGACAATAAACAGCAGGTTGTGTGTGTGTGTGTGTGTGTATGTGCTTACCATGGGAAAATCAAAAAGGGTTTTTTTTCAGAGTGATACTTTCACTATCAGGATGAGGTCTGTGTCCAAAAATGTTTTACTTTCAATTCTTCAGAGGAGCTTTAAGAGTTTAAAGAGTGTTTGAGTTGAATACATGCACTGGATGGAGGTGTTGTCAAATTGTGAATAATCATTTTCATAACCAGAGTCAATATTGATCAATTATTATAATTGTTACTTATACAATTATTAATTATTACTAATAAGGGTTTTTATTTTATTCTATTATTGGTTTTTATTTCACTCTTTTATTAGTTTTTATCTTATTCATTTATTAGTAGTTTTTATTTTATTCAATTCAATTATTAGTAGTTTTTATTTTATTTTATTATTATTAGCTTTTATTTTATTCTATTATTAGTTTTTATTTTATTTCATCATTATTCGTTGTTATTTTATTCAATTATGGGTTTTAGAAGAGAATCAAAATAACCATGGTGATAATTTCTGCAATAATTGAGCAACCTTAATGCCCCTTCTTGTGTCATTTGGCACGCCCTGACGAATAACCCGTCTTTAAAAATTATGTGCAGCTAGCATTTCTTTACAAATGATCTCATCCTGCTTTTAAATCTTTGCAGCGCAACAATGAAAAAAAAAAGAGGAATAGATTATAACCTGGTGTTGCCAGAGGTTTCAAACAATATGAATAACTTAAACACTATTCCTGCTGATGTTCTCTTCTGATATTTTCTGTTCTGTCTGTTTCATTAACAGCTAAAAACTTCCTGCAGGAGCTTTACAGTCAAGGTCCATCACATGCAACAATGAGGGGTATTTGGCTGAATGGTAGGTTTGGATTCAGTGTGCCAACAAGCGGTGGGAAAGAGAAAATGCGCTTGTAATCTGGTGATCAAATTGCATCACATCTTTGAAAGTGGTGTTTGATCTTTCTTTTGTTTTCTTGAATCTCGATTATACCTGACTGAGAACATAGCTGCATTGTGTTGTAAAATCTCTAGGAGTGAAGGCTGTTTGGCAGCTGTTATCATCGATCATATTACAAGATAAACGTGCAGCTGTCAGTGACTTACCTCCGATACATCCCGCAACAAAGTCCATCGCTGCTTGTCACACTATCACCTTGCTGTTAAGGGACTACACCGTCTAGAAAGGGATTGAAACAGTTCTTAGACTGAATAGAGTTTCCCTTATTCCCACAATACTGACAAAAATTCAGCTAATTTGCTAATTTTCCCCTTCAGGTAGCGTCCACGTTAGCTAGCACCGGACAGCAATTTCAATCACCCCCCTCCAGGATAAAGACTAACAAATGACTATCTCTGACTTTCGTATTTTCTGTTTATTCTAAAAACAGTCTTCTGTTGACCTACACAAACTCAATGAACTGTTGTTGCGTTTACAGTCAATGCGGACACCCTCTCCCTCTCTGTCTCTCTGTTGCCTGTGTGTCAAGGAGGTTTATTTCTGTAGCGGAGCGAGCTAGCTACGCAGGAAGTGACTACGAGTAGGCGGGGCTTACCGGCCTAGGGATGGAGATTTCAACCAATCACGTCGAAGATGTGACGCCGACGCCCCGCGTAGAAACTCATCCTTTTCACTCATTGGCTGCGTGTGAAGGCCGCCCAATGTTGAAGTGCGTCACCGATGCCGTGTGATGTTTTGCTTTTGAATGAACGGTCTCGTGTCATTGAAGTGATGTAGGCAGTGCTGTCACGAGGGAATTGTGGCGTGTAACCAAAGCTGAGACCGAGTACAGTCGTTCAAGTACTGTACAAAAGTTTAGTTCACATTAGGAAGGTTCAAATGACCGGGGCTGAGCTCCCATTTGGACGAGGAGAAACCTTCGGCTATTTTCGGGTAAAGCCGGAAACAACGTTGTCGTTAGATGGCTTACGCACGCTGTAAGCCAATGGAGACAGCCGTCCGAGCATGGCGGCCATTTTGCTACGGGACGGTGCATGTAGCATTTAAATAACCATAGTTTGCTTAATTTTAAACCGATTTTCAAACGGTCAGGTTTGTAACAAACCTCAGAGTTTTAGTTTTGTTCATGCACACTCAAGAATAATTTTAACCATGGATTGTCATAAATAAACATTAAGCAGATGGGTAGAGCAATAGCTACAGGCCTACACACACAAGGCAGTTATCATAAAACATTTATTCATTCCATGAATGTTATATTCGTAATATTTCTATAATAGGGATAACTATAATAACATATAGCAATAACATATATAAATATTTATTTTCAATATAAATAACTGCCACATATTGCCATTTTAGATGTTTTTTAACAAACCACACAGCTCATAAATTATGTGCAACTTAAGTTATGTTGAATTGAAAGAACATTTCTTCCTCTCCAACTATGCAAAATGTATTTGGTGTCACTCAGAGAGAGCCTGTTAGCCAAGTTAGACAGCTGATAAACACAAGCACATCCACAAAGACTTTCACTTAGACAAAATAGATAGATAGATAGATAGATAGACAGACAGATTTATAGATAGATGGATAAAATGTTAACATACAAGAAATTAAAATTTTGATTGTGGTCTGCCTTGTGGTTAGCTCTTGCGCGCAAATAGCTGTGAAACAACTGTGCCTCATGAAAAGCTGCCATTACAATATGTCCAAGCATCCCAACTCATAGCCATGTTACTAGGGTCTGTAATAAAAATAAATAAACATTTGAAAATCTGTCAAGATTTCAACGAGTTAAGGGTATTTTTGATCATGCAAATTACTCACCTCTTGTCAGCTAACATAGAGCGTACCAGAATGGTATACTGGCGTAAGATGGCCGCTGCGGAGGGACGCCGGTGACTCCGCCTCGAGTCATCTAGCCTTTCTTATCTATATCTATGATTTAGGGCACGCCTCTGCCACACGTCACGTAACAGCAACACATTCAAGGTTACAGCTATGCTGCACATGGTGAAGGAAGAATGGGCTTTTATTTGACAGATATCTGCGGTCAGTCTTAGTCTGACAGGATGCACATCGCGGATTTTGTGTCCGGATCATTCGCAGGTAAGAGTCGGTGCCGGTTAGTTTGCCGTTAGCGTGAGTTTGCCTTGAAGCTAGCCTGTGTGAAGATTACAACAACACAGCATGTGAGAAAAGTAGATAAACCTTTACGCTGATTCATGGGTGCATGTATCTTGTAAACAACTACAATGTGTGTAACCTCAAGTGAATGAGGAAGTTATGTAACAATATGTTTAAACGTTTTACTCTGCCGTACAAGTCTAAACATATATACTCTATAGGAACTTTAGAGGGTTTATGATTATATAATACTGTCCTGCATTTGCTGCATTTACTGACAAGATTTTCAACCACATTTAAAGGATTAAGAAACATTAAAACGTGGTTACATTAGATTAAGTGAAGCTTTTGCTTGAATTAGTCAAGCGAAGCTCAATGGAGCGGTCTCAAAGAGGATTTTTGTGAAGCTCCTGGCATCACTAGTAAAACCTTTAGATAGCAGTTATGTTATACCTGTGATATCAGGATGAAAAAGTACCTCTGTTTTCCTTGACCTTCTCCTCTTTTTGGACACACACAGGCGCCTGTGGCGTTGCAGTGGGCTACCCTCTGGACACTGTGAAGGTACAGTAAAGGACATTTACGTGAGATATTCAAAATTCCTGCAAAACATTGAGACAACAGTTTTATAATAAAACACTACACTCTCTAGGTCCGGATCCAAACCCAGAGACAGTTCACCGGAGTATGGCAGTGTATTGTGGCCACATTTTCAAAGGAGGGGGTAAGATAGGCAATAAACGCCTATTTGATGCCAGAGTTTGGGGCATGCCTGCCACGTTGTATTAAACAGCCTGGACTTTGCCATTTTGGCTGAAATAAAGTGGGGTTGTGGGACATGGAATAGTGTATAATGATAGACAATTATTAGAGTAAGGAGGCCCAGCAGAGATGGTGTGACTGTGTGTTTAGTAACAGTGTCAAGATGTGACAACATGTGAACTACACCATTTTATTAGCCAAACATTCATTATAATTTTAATTATAAATCATATAATTATAACCAGTACTTAACAATTATAATATAAATATCATAATTATGATTATAAGTTAGTTTGCATTTACTTTAGGGTGTTAGTTAACCTTCAACATTTAATTGTGTTAGAGTGGCTAATATTGTTTTCCTTTCTCTCTTGTATTATTAGGTGCATGGCTTCTTCAAAGGCATGACCTTACCTCTCACAACAATCACTATGACCTCTTCAGTGGTGTTTGGCACTTACAGGAACTGCTTGCAGTGTCTGAGTCAGGCACGAGGAGCTTGTTCAAACACCAAATTGGATGTATTCCTGTCCGGTATGGCGGGAGGGATAGCTCAGGTAAAAGTCAGGGTTTGTGATATCCTCTGATATGCTTTAAAAGTGTGCCTTGGGACAAAAATACTGTAAATTTTCCCATTATCTATATGTAGAAAGTTTTTCTTGACATCTGCTGCCAATTTTCTCCCTCTGATAGATATCAGTGATGTCTCCAGGTGACATAGTGAAAGTACGTCTGCAGTGTCAGACAGAATCCAAACGCAGGGGAGCCAAACCCAAGTACCACGGTCCTGTTCACTGTCTGCTGAGCATTATTAAAGAAGAGGGGTTCAGGGGGCTTTACAGAGGAGCACTGCCACTCATGCTGAGAGACGGGCCTTCATATGCCACTTACTTTTTAACTTACAAGATCATCTGTGAGCGGCTGACCGACAGTGGCAAGAAAAGGCCAGGTGAGTGAAGTCGATGTAATTTTCCTGCTTTTGAAACATGGAAAGTTTTGATTTTATCCCCTTTAACTCTGGTTTTCTGTTCCCCTCAGATTGGAGCGGTGTGATGCTGGCCGGCGGAGTCGCTGGGATGGCCGGTTGGACCATAGGAACGCCAATGGACGTAATCAAAGCCCGTCTACAGATGGATGGAGCACGGGAGACGAAGCGATATAAAGGATTTTATCACTGCATCACAGAGACGGTGAGGACGGAGGGAGTCGGCGTATTCTTCAGGAGCTTAGGTATAAACTGTCTGCGAGCGTTTCCTGTCAACATGGTGGTGTTTGTTACATACGAGGTTCTCACAGGTTTCCTGAAAGATGCCGCTGATGGCATTGATCCGCCTCGTATAGGGTTTGAATAGTCTTGACTACCTCCTACGTTTGTACACGAGTATTGAGAAGGTGATTATGGGTTTTAAGTCAGGAATGCCAAAGACATCTTGCTGTCTGTTGCATTTCAGTATTTTATTAATATTCATATTATTGTAAGACATACAAATAGTCTGTTACAGAGATAACATTTAATCCAGCTACCCTTCAGTGCTCAAGAGGAATTAGTCAGTAATATTAGTACCAGTTATTGAACCTGCAACCTTCTGACCACTAGATGGCCTGCTTGGCCAGCTTGTTACCTTCATGTTTCTTCTGCTGCTCGACTGTATGTTTACAGGAAAAAAACAGTCGGAGTGACTGGTTTGGCGTGGCGTGCACTTTGGGATCTGAACAGACTTGAGACTGTTAAACTTGAGCAATATTTGACAACTTTAAGACCCTCTGAGGCCTTGAGTTAAGAGTTATGAGTAAGCTGCAACGCGCACAATTTATATGTCTGATTTGTGTCGATGTCCAGATGTGGGCTCGTGATTTTCAGCCCAGTGCAGAGATGCACTGCGTAAATAAAACAAAATATATGTTTTATATTTTAAAACTTGATGACGTGGATTTGTAAGGGATTACTCTATAAAACTCAGAAAGACGACAAGGAGAAGAGCCTCAGGTTGATCAGGGTTCTGGGTTTTTACTAGAATATAACTGTTGGAGACTTATTTCATGAGCAAAGCTGAAATCTGCACAACACATTGAAAGTCTTGCGCTGATATGTGGAGTCATTTCAAGGGAATAAGTGGTGTCAGTTAGAGGAGACACTTGCATCAGGGTTCTGTGATAGAGAAAATGTATTTGAATGATTTCTTGTAATCTATTATTGATAAAGTTCTCATGAAATTGCTTATTGTGCCTTCCTAATTAGGTAGTTTGGTATAACTACTTAATGCTGAATGAGTCTCTGTGTAATTGCTGCACAGGGATTAAAAAACGGACGCACTTGTAATGCTGAAAAACTGGAATCTTTGATGGTTGCTGGAACTCTCCATTACAGCTATATGTGTCATTTAAATCAAACACAATAACACTTTTTAAAGTATTTAACAAACAAACATGCTGTAAGAGAAATCATAGCATGCATGTGTAGCTTATTTATAACACAGCACCGTCCTCTGACGCTTGAGAGACATGAAACCAAGTTTATTTATGGACAGGAGATATATGTTCTTCTTTGTATGTAACGGTGGGTCTGAAATAAGTGAACGCCTGGATAGCTTGGAGTCTCTGTATGGTGTATAAGTTTGGAAATGAATAAAGATGAATTAACAAAGAGGTTGTTTTGTACATTTTGATTTTTAAAGATTGCTGGTGGCTTAAAATCTGAATGACTGATTCAGTTTTGTTTATGAATCTGCTGAGTTATTAGTGTTGTGTACATTTTTTACAATATCATAAAGTTTGCCAATACTGAAAATCCAACACAGTACTAGCAGATGACTAAACTACAGAAGTCTGGTTCTGCTCTTTACTAACTTCCATCTTTACATTGGGTCTTTGTATATAGAATATAATTTAAACTGTCTTTTTCTTTGTTAAAGATCTTAAGAAAAAACTTGTGAATTAATGCTCTCATTGACTGAAATAGCGTGAAGATTAGTGCACTTATAATAATGAATTTTGTCATTAAATGGCTCCTGAAACTAATTTTCCAGGCACAGCAGGCGGCGTTAAACACTCCTATGAGTCTTGTTCCATTCAGTAGAGTCGTACAACCCCCTGGTGTGTGACGCAGACACTGTCTAGTGATTTTAAATGTGTGTAATGGCATAACTTCAGGGCTTTGCTCCTGTCAAAGCATCTGCTTTCATTTCAGTCAACCCCTCTTTTCACACTCCTTTTAAATTTCCCTTTGATTTGAATTTGCATCAGTAGAAGTTTCATTGTAACCTGTTGCTTCTTCGAATTCGAACCAACAATTTCTTCTGTGTATTCAGAAAAAGCAAAAAATTAATCCCCCCAGTGATTCAATCGCCCAAGATATTGTGTTCGATTAGAACTCAGGTCATGCTGAACTTTCCACAGCTGCAAACTGAGCTGAAAAATATGTTTTATCTTAGTTAAGGGGGGGCATGCAGGAACAATTTGTGGCTCTGTTTTTTTCCCATGTAGCCTAAAACCTAATTTGTCCCAGCTTAAGCAGATTTCCCATTGGGGACATAGCAGTGATAAAGCTTTGATTATAACAACTAACTTAAGTGTTCTCCATTTTCCCTTTAAACCGGTTACGTAAAATGACGAATGGAACACTAACCACACCTCATAAATTGAGACGTAAAGGTGATTACGAGCAGGAATGAATCTCCAGAAAACTCCCTGCGGTTCATCCCTTGCAATAACTTCTTGAATGTAGCAACCACTTCCTATGTTCCCTTCAATTCTAAGTACCATAACAAACAAACCCATTGTCTTATGTTAATATTCAGTAGAATGATTAACTGAATCAGATTATCCCACATGCAATATCAAGTGGAATCCGGGAACTATTTGAGCTGATGGAGGGAGCCACCAACACTGACATTATTTGTGCCATAAATCCCCCTCGTTTAATTCACTCATCTTTGTAATTAACATGATAAACTGCTGGATGACAAATGAGAAGTCAAATTTGTGTTTACTTAATAAGTGCTGGGTCACCACAAGCTGCCAGAATCTCTTCAACGGGACCGTTCATGGCGGGTCCATGAATCTCTCCTTCGCAACAGTAGAACACAACTCTTCTCAAAGATATTCTCTCAAGTGCTGTTTGTCGGTTGCGGTAGAAAACGTGGTGTTAAGCCTTGTTAAAAGCAATAAAAACATTACTATGTTGGAAAACAAAGACCCCTCATTCATCAGAGACCACTGAGTCGGCGCAGCAGGAGTGCAAATGCCGAGGGCTCTGGGGAGGAAAAGGCAGAGTTATCCAAAAAAGATGAACTTGTCTGAACTTTGGCCCCGAGTCAGCTCCAGCTTTAACTGTTTCATGACGCTGAAACAGACAAAATTAAGGTGTCACATTTTGTCCTTTTTATATGATTTATAACTTGTCACCTGTGCCTTAAACAAGATCTGCACACCAACTCATCTTTCTTTAATTCTCTTTTCAGTTTCAGTCCAAACACTCAATATAAAAGATAGTGGGACTCAAACCTTTTCCCTATTTATAAAACTACTGAGGACTTTTTGAACCTCTTCTTTTGCAGAGTGTACAAGTAGTTTCTTTGTATGTGTTACATGTATTTTACTGCAACTGCTGTTAAACTTACTGGTGTTTGAAGCAGAAATAAGCAGACCCACGCACCTTGAAAGAGAGGTGTATGTTGGGAGTAGTGGGTGCTGTCAGTAGGTGGGACTATCATACAAAAGCAACTTTTGCATAGATATATATATATAAAAAAATGGGGTTCTCTATAAAACATGCCAGTTTAGAACCAGTGGCAACCTACTATGGTCACACCCTTTGACTTAAGCACTTCATTTTGGGCATTTTAAACTATTTTCTATACACTAACCAAAATTTGCAAGGGTTCAAAGACACCTCTAGGGGGGAGTTTGTCTGAAAAATGAACAAATACTGTCATTTTTAAAATTACGAATTTGAATAGAGGGCCTTTTGTTGGGTTCACATTACACACCCAAGGGCCTTTTTTATTTCTTGGTATGATACATAAAATGACTTTTAAATTTTTTTATGATTATAGACCAAGTATGCTCCAAAAGATATTGTAGAGGCCCCATTGCTTTATTGCCACTGCTCAAAAAAAACCATCTCATTTCTCCCCTGGGCTTCTATCTACCCACTATGATCACGGTACACTAATTTAAGTATAGTCAAAAATATTCCTATTTTATTGTGAACGGTGTCACCATGGCAATAGTGTTAAGTGTAAACTTACTATTGGATCCAACCAGTAGAGTAGGAGTCATAAATGGTTATATAGAAGCAGTAACTCTCTGTAGCCAGAGGGTGGCGCTGTGAAAATATCCAATGTGGACATATTTAGGCCGGGACTGTGGATGTTTTTAAGTCAGGTTTTTGTCCTGACCACAGCACAGAGACTGCTCTGGTTCAGGTTTTTAATGACATTTTCTTTAACAGTCGTGCTCTTCATTTGACACAGTTGTCCATGAACACTTCATAACCGAATGGGAAAAACTGGGTGGGACCTGGAAAAACTGGTTCAAGCATTCATCTTCGGGCAATTTGATTACTTGAACAGCAGTCTTAAAAAAAACAAGAATGAATCAGCTGCGGCTGATTCAGAACACTGCAACAAGAGTCCTCTCTAAGACCAAGGAAGTGGACCTCCCTCCAATTCTGAGGTCTTTACACTGGCTCCACTAGATTTTTAAGTCTTACAGCTTGTCCATAAAGCTTTAAAGCTCCAAATCTCTGGAACAAACTTCTAGAAATTGTCCAGTCTGCTAAAGTCCCTTTAAATCCAGGTTGAGGACTAACCTGTTAAGAGCTGTTTCATATCAGATTTTTTTTATCAATAATTTTAATTCCCATTTTTATTCTTAACATTCAAATCCACACTGTCATTCAATGCTCCTATTAAAACATTTCATAATTTAACCCTCTGTTTTGCTATTTTTATTAAATTTCATTAAACATTTTTCTTACTCTGTGGCTTTTTAAAATAAAATTAAAGCTATGGTCTACCATTTGGAAGCTTGGTACTTATTAATAACACTGTTTATAAGGCCGTTATGGTCCTATGGTCCGATCTACGCAATATAAAGATTTAAAAAAATGAAAAAAATCCATTCAGTATATCCGCTGCAGAAAGGCATAATAATCGACTAATGGACCCACGGACCACTCCGAACCGCCATAACCCCGGTGGTTCGGAGTGGTCCGTGAGTCCATCCAATCCCCTGTCTCCCCTGCTCCGCACCGTCCCGTCAATGGTCCCACCTCCTCCCCACTACCCCCCTCACGTACATGTGATTAGCTAGCTGCACAGCTGCTGAAGCGAAATGGAGCGATACAGGTGCCAACGGAGAGTCTACATTGGAGAAACGTACGACCGGCGAAAAAAAGCTGCAGAAGGATTTGGGACTGAAAACTGACGCTGAGACAGCCGAATTTCTGTTGAAGAGGTAATTACTTTGTGTACTACAGCTGGAGATGTCTGCTGAATAACTCTGGTTAGTCTGTGCCTATACTGGCTATTGACTGAACATTGTTGGTCAGAACGGGTAGGCTCTGTCAATAGATTTTAGCATAAGTTAGCCACACATCTTTAGCATCATCAACTGAGCTGGTGAAGACACGCCGAGAAAGGTTAAGCCTCGCCCACAATCCGCTTTGCTCTGACCGGCTAGCAGTGGCGACGCCAGACCCGCTTCGCCCCGCTAATATATGTGAATCCGACCCAGACATCCTGAGTTGTTTTCGGAGCTAGCTTTGCTGTGGTATCTTTATGATTTAGCTTAAGATGTTAGCTTTAAGTGTCATATTTTAACAATTTTTAAATGTTTTCTTTAAACATGTTTTTCTGGCCTCTGTAATAATTCTTCTAATGTCTTGTGTGAGGCACTTTGAATAGCCTTGTTGCTGAAATGTGCTGTATAAATAAACTCGCCTTGCCTCACAGAACAAGACCTTGTCTCAGACGCTCTCTCAGCTGATTTGATTAGATCTACATAAGAGAACTGAACTATGATGATTGAAAAGCCCTCAGCAGATTTACTCGTGGATGGAGTGGGGTGAAGTCAGGTCAGAGACCAAGAGATCTGTTCTGAGTCAGTTCTGCAGCAGACGTTTGAACTACAAGCTGCAGACGAGAAAAAAAAAAAAAAAAACACAAAGTCATTGTATTGTGTTGTATTGTTAGTCAACCAGTATTGTTCTGTGCTGTGCAAATCCCCAAAAATGTTCCCCGTCTCGAAAAGAGCAAAGTTGGTGTTAATGAACTCCAAGTGGTCTAAAAGAAAGATTATGAGAAGTTCTGCAGGGTTCACAGCTTGCTGTCCACAACAGCTTATGGTCTGGCTATGCATAAGTCAGCTCAGAGTTTGCTGAATCTGTACGCCTTTATTTCGGTTCCAAACCAGGGCTGGACTTCATAAACCAGGCTTTTTTTTTTTTCCATAAAGGGATACTTGCTGGATTCTAGGAATTAGAGCCCGTACTGTGAAACTACAAAACCCTTGAATGTTGCCTTTGTTAGCTGCTTTTAATTAAACCCTGCATGTCTTCCCCCCCCCTTATGCAACAACAGCCCACAATTATTCAAGCATCTACAGATCTAGTTTAATAAAGTTGCAGGCGGCTTCCTTGTGGAACGCTTGGCGCAAATGACACCTTTAACACACGGGAATGCAGTGATTTAAAATGTCGATATATGCCTGAACAACATCGTACAAGAGACACAAGATCTGTCCCATAAATATATAGATTTTTACAGTCTTCCTCTTACTCTCATCCTGAGGCTTTGGCGATAGGACAACATCACTTCTGCAACACAAAGAGCTTCATGCAAAAGTGTATTATCCCAGTTTTGTGTTGGTGGTTCAGTAGGCTAATTGACGGGATGATGTCGACACAAATCAAAGCAGAAGAGCCTTTGTACGTCTGACAACTGCTTTGGAGTTCATGATGTTGTATTTTTGATATCCAGACAAGATATTCCCTTTTCGGAAATCTCCAAGAGTCACATGTTGTGAACAAATCTGCATAATGATCAGGTTTAAAAGTGTAAGTGTTTCAATATCAAGTCCTGAGAAGTTTTTCAAGCTGACAAAAGAAGTGCAGAAACACATGAGAAAAGCTCCATCAGGGCCTGTGTGAGTGACAAATTAAATGATGGGTGTTCACGTGATGTTCAAAAAGCTTCATTTTGTTGTCAGAATCAGTCCTCGGTAACTACCACTTGGGCCCCCTTTCACCAATTGCTGTTTGGGCTATTTTGGGAGCGCTGCGCTCCCCTGTTAGTGACGTGTGCTGCTGGGTAAATTTGCAGCTCCGACGGCCTGGGCCTGCAACCTCAGATGGCATCAATGTTGTGAGGTGGGAGGGATGTGAAGGCAGGATATAGAGTGAGGAAGCAAGAAAGAGAGGGAAAGAAAGAGAGGGGGAGGACCTGGACAGGGAACATTAGAAACACAACAGTGGAAATGATGTCCAACCTGGCAGAAACAGAAATCACAAACTGAACTGATATGAGCCAGAAAACAAGAGAAAAACACGAGCAGATCTATCTAGCAGGAGAAATTGCCGGTACCAGATGAGCAAGATGAAGGATGCAGTCATTAAAAAAGGAATTCTCATTTTCACTGGTGACTAACAAGTGTACTCCATGTACGAGTGATGAATGTAATAACAGAGGTGGAGGAATGGGGGCGCTATTGTACTTCACACTCAGTCTGAAATAGCTGTGGCAAATGGGAGTTGGAAAGACAAACTAAACACAAATCTTCAAAGTAGATTTTCGCTGAAATGCTTGTTAATATAGTTGGTTCGTGTCTTGCTTCAAAGGCTGTCTCATGACAAGCACAAGTGTTTCTGAATGGAAACCTAATCAGTGTTTCAATGACAAAAAAAAAAAAGAAAAATAAAGGAGGTATTCAACTCAAACTCCCTTTCACTGTATTTTTTTTTCTTTTTAAATACTTGGTTTAAGTTTATTTACTTGGCAGTTTTAATCAAGACCAGCCATCACACATTCACACACATACTGATTAATACAATCACTGGCATAATCATTTCAACACCACAAATCTAAAATGTCCTCTGAGGAATGAGTTTCGTGCTCATTTGGTTGTGGTTGCATACTGAGAACCAGCTGAGAGTCATTATGTTGTGATCAGCCGCCAAAGTGATTAGCCGTTAATTTAAATCAGTCAAATAAGGTTTAAAGTAATAGAATAAAGCAGAGTGCTAAAAACAATTCATCATCCATCCTATTAAAATGGTCAAAGTTGGTTTTTTTTATGGGAAAAGAATTATTGCTATGGTGACGGTTTTTCCTCATCACACTATATTATCACCTTGTACCATCGCCTCTGCCGACTCACCTGTAATGAATTTTCCTGAATATTTTCTGCTGCATTCTCACATTCCCTCAACAGACTTCTTGCAGAAATTCACAATGGATATTTCGTAGAAAAAAATTCCTGGTGGAATCGGAATAAAAAAATTTTTTAAAATCTGTGTGTTTGTGTTCCACCCCAAACATTTGTGGAAGTTTTCAGAGGTGTCGTGCATAATTCAACACAGCTAGTTTGTTTCATTCAATTCTGTTGGGACTTGGTGACAGTATAGCCTTTTGGTGTGCACAGTGGCTTGAACCACCTTGGTACCAACACTCCCTCCATTTGGTGCATTTGCTGGTTGAGAACAATATTTACCTCGCTGAACCCTACAGTCTACCCGAGTGAAGACTCATCACTCCTGATAACATGAGATGAAAACTATTAAGGGTGGAGGTTTATGACCAGTTTACGATGTTCGCAAAGCAATGTCTGAGGACCCGACATGGATCCCTGCTGAACACCTTTTCAGCATTTTAGGGGTTCCATTTGAAAAAAACTGCAAAAACTGGCATAACAGAAACGCCATAGTATATTAAACGCAGGGCTTGACACTAACTTTTTTCAGAAGCAGCACATGTGCTCCTGAGTTGAAAAAGTAAGGAGCACACAAAGAACTTTGAGGGCACAATGAAAATTGATCAAATAATGTGTGTCTTATTGGTCGACATAAGTACTATTATTTGAAATCAATTTTAGGTCAATTGGTCACGTGACATGGAAGCTATTGAAGAAAATGTTCAGAATTTGCCTTTAAATGTAACACAAAATTTATTTAGAGGACAAATTAGGGAAATAAAGAGTGTGTCTTATCGTCAAACCTTAATTCTATTATTTGAAATCAATTTTAGGTCAATTGGTCACGTGACATGGAAGCTATTGAAGGAAAACAGCCTTTTTTTTTAAATATCAACCGGTAATTTATTGATGGTCCCTTATTCAACACCTGACGTTGACAGCGAGGGTGCTGAGTAGATTGAACCGCACTGCTGTTGCCATTCCCGGTTATAGAGAGTGAGAAGAGACCGATAGATCCGCAGTGAATGTCCGTCGAATATCCAACCTAAAACCAACTTTGCCATGGTATTTACATGAAAATACATATCGGCTGATATTTTTTTATTCGCACATGTGCCCTTAAATGCATTTTACAATTTGCACACATCTATTTTTGGTCGCAAATGCGAGTGAAACGATCGCACTGTTGAGCCCTGAAACGGTACTTTGACAATTCTCAATACCTCCTGTAGTATCTGAATTATGTTGGATTAGGATGTCAGGAACTTGGAGCAATGTTTCAGGTCCCTCCAGTGTTTTGCACTATTGACAGTATCATGTTTGTTTGATTATTGAGACTGACTCATCGGAAGGATTTCTTTCAAACTGAAGGTTTAAACATCTGTGGTAGAGAGAGCCAAGATTAAGTTTGTCATATCTTCTTGTATTGGCATTAGAATAACAAAACTGAGATGATGAAAAGGTAGTTTCCTCAGTATGTACAGGTAACTAAATACAATATATGGTAGGACTTGATTCGATAAGCTATGCTACAATACACAACGATACACAACGAAATGATACAACACAATACGATACGATACAATACAATACCTACCTGTCATCCATTGCCATATACCTGATACGGTTTGTCTTTTTATCAGTTTCTACCTCTGAGTCGTCTCTATGGTATATTTTTGATCTGCACCAAGCTTGCCTGTGTTAATAAGCACTTTGGTACATTTTGTACCCAACTCTGACAGTTGATGTTTAGCTGTTATTTACTGGCAAATTAAATTCTTTACTTGTCTGAGTCGGTTGAAAAACAGTTACGGTTATAGTTCAGCATATAATGTAGCTCAGAGGACCAAAGATCAGACCATAAATTCCTTATCCCTTTCCCAAGCTTTTCTATTTGCATATGTAGGCCATTAAACACATGACACAGCAACACGCACGTGCCCTCCACTGGATATTTCCCTGATAACCTACTTTATTTTGCCTACCACTGAAGAACTATTGGGTGAAATTTGCAAATATCATTAAACTGTCTCTTGCTTTCTTGCCACGCCTACCTGGTCTCAGTTTGCACTTGGCAAGATTTGTGTTCAGGGTGTCCTCTACAGTAGGAGCCAATGTTAAAATTTTGCATGCATGTGGTAGGCAACACCAATCCATACCCCTAACCTCCATGATGAACAGATTTGTTCAAATTCTACACAATGGTTGTGTTGCACAGTGTCATTTGATCTACAAGATAACAGATGGTGCACAGACTGGGCAGTGTCCCATTGAGTTACAGTGTGATTGGGCATGAGGCAAGACCCCCATGGTTTAGGCTGTCGGCAAGGAGGGACACAGTGTAGCTAGTCGAGAGGGAGCTCTTTAGTATGAACTTTCAGAAGAACCAATATAGGGCAGGCTCAGACGGAAATAAATAAGATTACCAAAGACCCAAATGCAGACGTGTGCACAATGGAATCTCTGTTGGGCACATATAATGTCCAAGCCAAGAGTATGTGACAAAAAGGACAGGTCTCCTGTGAATGAAGGCTCAAATTATTCACAGGTTCAGAATCATTACAGTTAAGCTAAAATAATGCAGCGTGTTAATCGGGGTTAATCAGGTCAGTGATGCCAGGAAGGGCATAAGGAGAGAAAGTGCAACATTAAAGCCCCATAAATTGGCCCAATGCCCAGAGTACCAGGGTAGAAGTAATTTTGATGTCACTTTTCCCTGCTCTCCATATTGTATTGGCACCTGGCTCAGGAGACTGATCCCCTCTTTGAATACTGATCAGTGATACTGATTGAAAACTGTCTTTATAGTAAGTGCAACAGCATCATTAACTGCCAGTCTGTGTTTAAAGGAGCAGTAACAGGGGACAGGAAGTGCTCAAGACAGTGAACTGAACTGAACTGAAGTGAAGCAAAAGCCTGCAGAGCGCATGAAGGCAAACAGACAATTAAGCAAAAGAAGCAAAAAAAAGAACCTTCGCAAGACGTTATAATGAGCAGGCACAGAAAGAGACACTGAAGCAAGGTAAGGACAAGTATGACTGAGAGAGAAGTAGGAAGAAAAAGCAGGAGGGAAAAAGAAAAACAGAAATAAGAATAGAAAGAAAAAAAAGAAGATGTGAATGGAGGGAGTCGTCATGCAGCACTGGGAGGGAGCCCTTTAGCAGCCTTGACGTTGGCATCTCTGATCGCCTACGCACCGTGACAGCCGGGTGCAGCGGTGGAGGGTTCAGACCGGTTCAGTCTCTGTTAGACATGCAGGGGATTCCTGACTCTGTCAAAACTTTGGCAGAGGAGTCTGAAGGGAAGGGAAGAAAAAATATTTTAACCAAGTGCTGCGCCAGAATCGGTTTAATAGCGCTCAAACTTTACAATACGAGGAAATTCTTACATATTTTCTGCAGATTGAGGACTGAGGAGTCACAGTGACCCAAGTGCGGTCCAGATGCAGAATGAAAGTATTGAAATTATCAATAATTTTCAGCGGTAAAGCAATGATGAAATAATGATTTATGTTTCTTGCTGTCTACTTCCAGCTTTTAATTAGGCCCAAAGACTCTTATTTTTAATCTTTATTGGATTTTACTTTGAGTGTTCAGCTTAAAGAGGAAATAGCTAGGATAAAGCTTAAGAGGGCTATGATGTTGGAGCTTACTTTGTCAATGGAACAATTTACAAAAGAACAAAAAAACAGAAAATCAAAGCAGTCCGGTTAATACTGATGGTTGAACTTAGTCTCTTCAGACATCTTTTTGGTTGCGAACCACCTTTTATCAGGTGGATTTAAGTGTGTTTAGTGTGGAAATAGGGCCGTATTGTTTAACTCTTCTCTGTGGGAGCTGAAAATCTCTCTTAAATCACTGAGCACTCCTTTTTATTTCAGATTGTGACTTCCATCCTTGTCCACCAGAGTGAATCTCTCTTTCTTTCAGCGATGACTACAGCTGTGTCTTAAGCCCCAGCCTTAACCAACTGATTTTTTGAAACGCACCACAGTCCACACCAAGCGGCTTCTTTGCCAAACCCACACTAACCAGAGCGATTCGAAAATGGTCTTGTGAATAAGTTTTGAATTTGTAATCAGTAAAAGGCTTTTTAAGGTGCTGAGAAAAAGACCCTGAGATCACAGAATCACGTGGGCCACTCACATGGGACTGTCAAAGACATTATGAGATTTTATGCAGCTCCCATGTTGGTCTCTTCGGGCTCTCTTGAATTGTTTGAATATTTAGTTGCACTCCCAAAAAGTTGCAGAATATGAATCTTCCAGAAAAAAATGTTTGATTGATATTTAAATGTCATCGGTGTCTACCTTGCATTTAGAAATCTTGTATAAAGTAGATTTATGCCTTATCTGTTTGTTTTTTCCTGACAGAACATTTGAAAACCTGCCATTATGCAATATTATCTTTGTGATTTATTGTTGCCGCCAAAGGGTTATAAATGACATATGTCCCGGTGATTGCACACAACCTCTTCTTAAGGCTACATTTATCTGTCTGTGGGTTGAACCCTCAGGTCTGTACCGTTTCCTGACTCATACTACGAGGTGAGGCCGTTCAAAGAGCAACAGAAAATGAACATTTTGTTGACATGCAGGAACTCAGCCAAGTGCCTGTGGACATATTTACGAATTCAAAAGTTGCGGATAATACACTGAGAACTTCACATGGACCAGCAGATTAAACACACAACACCTTATCAGGAGTTAAAAGGCTAAAGTGCTCGATCTGGAGAACAAATGTTCAACTGATAAACTGAACCAAGCATGCTGCTAATAAGCCTCAGCTGTAACAAACAGATCATGGGTTTAGATTTATCTACAAAGGCGCTGTCCTCCGGGGACGGTCAGAGGAATAATTAAGTTTATGGACACAAAAAAACTCGAAAGCAGTGAAACATCTTAGTAGCGACATCACACCAGAGAGAGTGAACAGCGGTTAGTCGACATCTGTTGTTTGGCGTGTTTGATTTAAAGAAAAACTTTAAAACATGATGTTAAATATTAGTATCTAAGGAGAGTGAGACAAACAGTTCAAGTCCGAGTTCTGTTGTACTTTCTCATGGGAATGCATGTTGTTTAATTGAATTACTTGGTTGGAGCAAACTGCTGTTTAATCTGATACAGCTGAATGATGTCATAAGCATGGTTTATTTTCAGTTATTTTGGGCCTCAGGCTCAACATCAAGCTGGAGATCAAGCAAATGTGTCACATCACAAATAGGAACATCTTAAGAAAGCCATGCAAAGAGGGACCGAAGATATCAACCAACTCTGGCCCTGACTCAGTGAATCTGCTCTCTATCTCACTCCTATTCACGCCCAAGACAAATGATTAAATTACAATTATCAAGTTACATTTAGTTGTTTTTTACACAGTTTGCAGGCTTCTTTATTAAAGTCTCATGTTTTCATGGCCAGTACTTAAAACCTATTTTAGTGCACTTCATAATGTCTGGTTGGATAAACCGACATGATGAAGCATCTAAGCGAGGTGCTAACGAAACATCAAGGTTAGCGAGGTTCCAGTATGAGTTAGGGTGACCATATGTTCTCTTTAGTGATGGGCACGGCAGTTCTTTTAGATGTACTGAATCACTAGAATCAGTTCACTAAAAAGATTCGTTCAAAAGATTCATTCACCAAATCACCAAATCACCAAATCACGTAGCGCTTAGCGGGAAAAGCCTGTGACTCCGACCTCCTGAACTGATACACAGCTGAACGGTTCAGGATTCAGTTCAGTTCAAAGCTTCTGGGACCGGAAGACACGAGTGTTGTGACCGTGTTGCTTTGACAAACAGGTTTGTAAAAATGAGCTTGTTTATAAGTCATGATGTTTTAAGTGTACTGTCCTATGGTATGCTATTTATCAGGTCTGTTCAGTAAATCGGGCTCAATGAGTGATTTGTTCACTGAACATTTAGAAGAATTCACCATTCCCTCGCATGGTGATTCCAGATTCCAGAGAGTGTAGTTCGAAAAGTGATTCGTTCACCAAGTGATTCAGGTGTGAGTGCGTGTGGTCCCTCGTTCGCCGGCTGCTCGACTGGCAATGCTGTTCCTCACTTTTGCTCAACTGAAGTGAGAAACAAACGAATCGCTTGAGGAGGTGATTCGGTTCAGTACATTCACTTTAAAGATTCAGTTCTTTTGAATGAATCGTTCGTAAACAACACAACACTAGTCCTCTTTTACCCGGACATGTCCTCATTTTAGGGGGCTGTCTGGGCTTGTCCGGCCTTGTCTGGGGAGGTTTATAAAACCCTTCAAAAGCCCACGGTTTTCTACGGAAGTTTCGAGTTTATGTCAAGTGGACTTACTGAGTTAGAAGCGTGCAAAAGACACTCGATCCGAACTCAAAAACGTTCAAAATGAACTTCGTACAACTCTGTGACTCCGCCCCCGCGTAGTCGTGTCCTCTTTTTTTGGAAGTCAGAATATGGTCACCCTACTATAAGCTAACAGGCTGCCAAAGATTTTTTTCCCCAATCTCTCACTATCTGTTGTCTTTGAGGCTGCTTATCAATCAAGAGCTGTGAAATCACCGCAATTAGTCAGATTATCAGGGTTTATATTACTTCTGACCCGGGACACAGTCATTGTACGTGGTAACATGATATGAGTTTCTCACCCAGAGCATTGTGTCACAAGAAGATGGCCACTGTGGGAATATATGGTCTACTGAACATGGTCACAGAGTTCATGATTAACTAAAAACAAAGGCTGTGGCGAGACACTCAACTCACATCACAGGACAATTCTCAAGCCCAGAGTGCAGATACAGTTTTGGTCACTGTGGTTTTCAAAGTGACTCATTGACGTTCAACAAGGAGATTTACAATAAAACTGCAAATTAAGATCCTTTTCTTTAACAGTTGTATTTATCTGTGACGTCTCCCTTCATGCAAGTTATGCATTTATGGAAGTAAAGACAAAGATGGATCATATGGGAGAAAGAGAGCATCATATGGCCAAAAAAATGCAAAATTTGTTTTGCAGGTGGCACAGGTATCCTCTACAGGAGGTTAACCATATTTTGATGACCAAGACCCAGGACTTGGCCCAGCAATGAGATATTCTATTTCTTTATCCAATCCAATCTACTTTATTTATATAGTACAATAATTAAAATTTTAAAAAAGTTCAGCAAAGTGCGGCCAAGTGCGCCAAGTTAAAACACACAGAGCACAAACCACTGTCCGACAAAAATGATTACAGAGAGTGTAGTTCAATGCGTGATTCGTTCACCAAGTGATTCAGGTGTAAGTCCGTGCGCTCCCTCGTTCGCCGGCTGCTCAAGGAGCAATGCTGTTTCTCTCTTTAGCTCAACTGGAGTGAGAAACAAACAGATCACTTGAGGAGGTGATTCGGTTCAGTACATTCACTTTAAAGATTCAGTTCTTTTGAACGAATCGTTCGCGAACAACACAACATTAGTCCTCTTTTACCTGGACATGTCCTCTTTGGCTCAGGTATCCTCTACAGGAGGTTGACCATATTTTGATGACCAAGAACCGGGACTTGGCCCAGCAATGAGATAATCTATATCTTTATCCAATCCAATCTACTTTATTTATATGGTACAATAATAAAAATTTTTAAAAAGTAGTTCAGCAAAGTGCGGCCAAGTGCGATAAAATAAGTTAAAACACAC